ATGACGGCAGCGACGTCGCATGCCGCTAAGATGTTGGAGACCGAAAGACGAGGCGCAATCGGCTGGTGGCGGCAATGACGGTAGGGTTAGGATCTGTGGCCAATCTCGTGTCTTGAGCTCAGTACGGCCAGTCCCGAGAGGGACGGATGGACGGTGTGGACAGATCAACCGGCGCGTAAGCGGCCCTTCCACATAAGCTAGGGTCGTGATAAGGCGGTTCGGAGTACGGAATACCCTTCGTACGCTATAGTGTCCTGTAGCTACCGGTGGAAGCTGAGCTTTAGGATTGGTCCTACTAAGATGCAACCATCGTGCGATCGTCTGTGGTGTTGACAAAATCGAAGACACAAATGGCGCCAAGCCCCCTTGTCCGAAACGTGTCGAGTTGCCGCCCGGAACGGGTGCCGAGGCTTGCATAAGGCGATGCGCCACGACAGGGATCTTCCTGTGTGTGAGCCTGCGGGCCGTCGCATTCGCTGAAGCGAAGTCAAGTGACTGAAATCGTATGCGGAGCTATCTCATGCTGTGTCGCACGGTCCCACAGACACTGAGCAGCCAGCCAACCATGGGAAGCAAGGGAAGAAAGAGATATTATCGTAACTTACCTGTCCAATACACCATCGGTTTCACCCACCCTGCCTGGGCCGGCCAACGCTCCACGATGGAGCATGGAGATGAAGCCGAACAGCCAAGGCATGCGGACATCTAACTCGACAAGTTGCGCTACACAGCTCCACAAGCCCATGCTGACTACAGGCCGTTTGGCCTCCAACGGGCGCCTGGAAGCAAAGTTTTCCGCTTGAGGTGTTTGCGATTGGCTACCAGCCTCAACAGATGACTGTTCGCTTGTGGCAATTCTTGACGGAAGAGAAGATAATGTCGCAAGACTCAAAATCACCGCGCGCACCGCAATAAACGCCAAAAAAGCGTATTGGATGATCGCCCAGAATGCACCAGAAGTGTATACGACCAGAGTATTATGGCGACTCTGGCCGGCGTCCAGTCGTTCTTCTGGATGAACTTCTGTCCCGCCGTGTGGAGACAGCAGCCCATAACGTTCAAGACGGGTCAACGACTGTTCTGCGTTAGGGTCGTCTGACTGGGGATCTTTCTCTTTCGCAACATCGGTCTGCAAAACCTCAGCTATCCTTGTGATGCCTTCCCATAATACCCATCCCTCGCAGGCTTTGCCGCTAATGCCGTTTCCGAGGATCATCTCGGCGAAAATTTCGGCCACCAGGGCGCGTAGACACCCATTCTTCAAGTCTTCTGTCGGTAGCAATAAAGCCAACACTCCGTGGATGAGGAGTTGGCGCCACGCCGACTCGCTTTCGCGCTGCTCGAGGACTGTTGCTGGTGCATCATCGGTTGGAACAGGAGAAAGTGCAGGGTGTGGGTGGAGCGTATGATAGATCAGACGAGGATCTGATACCAGTGAATTTGATGAGGCGGCTTGATTCTTCGCTATTCGGAAAGCTGACAGGGCACAATTAGACTAAGTTCATGCGACAGTCCAGGATCGGAACTACCTACATGTCAGATGAGCTCCAAGCAGCTCAGGGATCTCGTCTAGTAACAGTGATTCCAGGTCGACTTTCCTGAGGCGTTGTTCCAGACCACGGGTACAGTGAGCGATAATTTGAATCACTTCGTTGACAAATACTTGATCTGGAGTTATCTTCGAGTACCACGTCTGTACAAATTCCTTGATGATCACAGAAATAATACCGTATAACTGAAGATCGACCTCATTTGAGCTTGTCAGAGGTGGTAGCACGTCTCCGATTGGGCGCGGTGTACTGCGTGCTTTCTCGCCGTTTCCAAGTAGTACATTGTGGGAACAGAGAGTACGCCGAATGAATGCTGCGGTTGCTTTGTCCGAAGCAGCATCCACTTGAGTCTTTTGAGTTTCTGTTGGGCGAGTCGTAGCACGAGTATGGTTTTGCAAAGTGCTCCCAGTGGCTCCTGGTATAGACGATATTGGGGTTTGAGAGTTTGGTGGCTGCGGAAGGGGGACGTCAGGATCCCGGCTCATGCTCTCCGTCATCGCAAGGTAATGCTCATGGTCGCATTCACGGAGTAAGATTTGTGACACGTGATAGCGCGCTGCGACGCGGTCTCGATGAAGGTCGTCGTTGAGTTAGATACTGGGTAAAGTGAGCGATGACGACACAAAGTCAACCAGAGTTTCCGTGTTTAGCCGAGCCTTGGCGCGTCTGTTCTTTGTCACACGCGTTGCACAACACCGGCCCTCCGATTAGCAAACCTCACAGCGCCGCTCACTTCAAACATCCAAATGGCAGCACTAAGTCCCGACGGTATGTGGGTAGCCGTTGTTTCTGCTCCTGCTAATCGTTTTGGTAGTGGCGATAATCGATGTGGAGGCGCAACTGAAAGACATCGTACAAAATCTATACAACCTCATCGTGCAAGCTTACGACCACCATGGAAGCAAGACACAGGAGGCCATGAAGCGAGAGATGTACGCAATAGATCAGGAACATGCGTTGTATCGTGAGCTAATGACATGATAGCCAGTCGCTTATTCAAAATCTCGTAAAATTGGCAAGAACGGCACCTTCGGTGAACATCAACATCCCTCCAGAGGTCATGTCCTATGTAGAAAACTCCAGGAACCCGGACATCTTCACTCGCGAATTTGTTGAGACCGTGCAGCGAATGAACCAGATGTTGTACGGTCGCGTTGACGCTTACCGCGCCCTGCAAGAACAGCTCGCCCTGCACGTCTCAAGCGCAATACCAGAGCTCAAAGACGATGTAAACTCCGTCGTCGAGTCTACAGGTGGCAAGGTTGTCGTCTAGGTGTCTTACCTCTATCAAACAAACGCGACTACCTTGCACGAATCTAGAGTACCTAATTTCCGCAACCACATCATGAATGTTAAGGGAGCACAGACACGTACGGAGGTCAAACTCAAATTGCGAGATCTACCCAAGGACCTCGTTTGAGTAGTTTGTCATAAGAAGCAAATTCTGCGGAATTTATCTGCACATCAGTACTCCAGCAGGTGGGGAGGTACACCAAAGAACACAAACACTATTTCAATCTCAGTTTCGTCGACATTTATGACAGCAGGGAAAGCGTCAGAGGCGCGAATGATGTCACTGGAAAGCGTGACAAGTCGTCAGAAGGGTTGTGCTTTTGGATGAGGATATTGGCAGGGATATTAGTATCCAACACGTTGCTTTGTCCACAGCGCGCCCACACGTCAAAAAGAAACGTCAACATCTTTCAATCAGCCAAGTTTCATCGCAGTCATCCCCACTCGCCGCCAGATCCGTTGGTGCCACATTACATACGTCGCTCTTGTTGCCTGAGTTAGAATGGAGCCATGCTTCCTTCGGCCATTTGATACAGCTTTACGCGGTATCTTGTCCCTTACATCCGCGGTTGGACTATCGTTACATAATGTCCGCTTTTGGACACCTGCAGCAAGTTTCGCTCGTCATAGTATGCGGCTAAGTGTATCGTACGAGGTTAGCTTCGGCACCTATGTATCGCTGGAAATGAATGCGTACCAGTCATATCGAAAGTAATCACGATATCGCTCTGTATAATGAACTTGACATGTCTGGGTGATATCGTTTGCATTGTAAGGGTCAAGGTCAAAGCCACTCTTTGTCCTTCTCGGTCGACTCGTTGACTCGTTACATACCCTAGACATGTGCAAATATGTGAAGAATATCTCCTTGACATATGGATGCATGGAGATTCAATATAACTTTGGTGCAACGGCGCGACACCGTGTGTTGGAGTTTTCGGTCCGATGACATTCAATACTGCTAGCTTCGTCCAGCTCATGTTGGAACACGACAAACTCTGACCGTCGGACATACAAAGCAGAGTTGAGCTAACCTTGATACTGGGAGATGCTTATGTCGTTCATAGTATCATACCTCGGTTGCAAGTCGAGCAATTTGGACGTATTTGAAGACATGCTCCTCTGCCTAATACCTACTCTTCGGTTTTCTTTGCTGAAGTAACTGTACAATGACTTCAAGTGAAGCTCGTGACCAAACCCGATGGAGATCTCTAGTCTAGGCGATGCTTCTTCTATAGCTTCTACCTCTTCGCCGATATGGTAAGGATGATGCGTTGTCATATACGCTCAGTTTCTTTCCCATTGTCAGTCACAGTGTCTGCACAATACAGCAAATATCCTGCTCAGCATTTGTACCGGCCTAAATATGGCTTGTGAACACTTCCTTCGTCATTAGTCTTTAGTGGTACCAGTTAGGTGGTGGAGATCCTCATCAAATTTGGAATTATATTTGGTGATGCCTGAAGCGGCTCCAATTCTCGAATTGAGAATGCATGAAAAATAGTCTACCTTGCTTACAAACATATTTGTTTGCTTCCAGCGGTCTAGATGCGATCCACTGCACTCAGATATGAACACTTATCTTCTCTCAAGAGCCAAGACAGTAAACCATAGCGACTGAGCACGATGTACGAACGACAACATAACACTCAGAAAACAGTTTCTAATCCAGGCGTAAACAGCCATCAAGACCATGCGAACATATGCTTTGCTTTCCACGGTGGGCAGCATCTCACTTCCGTCTTGCAAGGCGAAAAAGGAATGAGTGATAATCTTCTATAGGTCACTAGTTTGGAAAGAATCTGTCGATAGGCAAAGAATTGACTCTTCAAATATCCTGGTGGGGCGGGTTTTCCACTTCACAGTTTTTCACCGACGCTCCGTCATTCACTACATTGCAAGCTACTTAGGTAGGACATAATGGCCTTACAACAACCACCGACTCCTTCCCTACACTTTTGCGCACAAGCTTTGAACGCTTGGTTTATCATATGCTCTTTATCTCGTTATACACGATCAGCAGGTAAAACAAACCGTTTAGCAAATCTCAACTCGCTTTCCCGATAAGAGCACTCGACGCGCGCAAACGAAACGATAGGCCGATCACGCCATATTTGGCGAAAAAAAAATCTTTAAATTTGTATCACGAACGCACAAATGTTGTTCTTCTCTAGGCCTTTGTCGACTTTTGCGTCGACATCGCAATGTCGTAATGCACCCACGCTGTCGCCGCGACCAACTACCGCTTCGTGTCATTCCCGGGCGCGTTCCACTTCTTCAGAGGCATTCAGTCGTCCAAGAGTTCACAGTTTGGTATCCTGGGAGCTTGTTCCCACAGCAAAACTATCACCACTATCCTCCCCAGCTTCCGTTCCTTCTTCGTCCGTCTCCCATTCTCCACCACCAGAAGAAGAGTCTGTTTCATGGGAGGTCGTCAATGAGGATACCTCAGCGCTGATAGCAGACCATTCCTACATTCCCTCCCTTGACGGCTTTTCTCCTGCATCTGCAGAATTATCCCACTCTGACCCCGAGCACACATCGCTATCCGAATTTGACATAGAGACTTTCCCATCCCATGCCCATCTGTTCCCTTCGTCACCAAACGGCACATGGCGTAATGAGTCACTTCACGCGTTAACACACCCTACAGCCGTTGATTACAAAGCGCTGTGTAATAAGCTCCGTGCGCTAGTTGAAGAAGCGTCTGACGAGGTTTCTGTAAGAGTGAATCGAGTTTTTGAGAGGTCTGATGTACCGGCAATACATGACAAAGTCTTGAAGATTATACCTTCAGTTTCGATGCCGGATATGAGGGATCTTGAGCGCGCTGTTGATGCCGGGTGTGAATGGGGATGTGGATTATTAGAGCGGAGACATACAAGGAGTAGAGCGCGGGAAGGGTGAGTGAGGCGCAGAAAACTTCTGGAGCAAGGAAAAAAACAAGAGCGCAATGAATATGTTTCTAATTAACCGACGGAGTTTAAAGTGGTGCTAGGAAGATTGAATTCCAACATGGTAATACATTAAATATCTTTGAAGGCTACGCAGCCTATCTATATGAAGCGAATATCTCTCTAATAAACCTTTAATCGTCACCTCAAATCTCCTCGCTCAATCACCAATTATTTTTCTAAACCATAGCCACTCCCATTTTAAACTATTCATCTCGGTGAATACTTCCAGCGCGTTGACGTTGGGCAGAATGCGGGTGTGCGAGTGCCTCCTCATCACGAGGGCCGCCAGCACCGCCTTCCATAGGACCACCAGCCTTCATGCCACTCGGTGTTCCACCGAAGCTGACAAGTACCGAGGGATTATCCGCCGTTAGGGCATCTAGAACATCTAGCTCGTGTGCTGTGAACCATTTTGGCATCAAGAAAGTGCGTAGCGGAATAAGCGCGGTGATGAGCACGGGAAATCCGATAGCGGCGATAGTTTGCGAAATAGCAACTGTGCATGCGACACCAAAGATCTGGATGCCAATGAAAAGTCCGATCTTCTTGCGAGAGACGGTATTCAGCGGGTTATCGCGTTGGATAAAACGCTTTTCGGACATGAGGTAGAGGGTCTTGGCGACGATACCGTTAGATTCGATTGAACCCCACTGCAGAAGGGTTAGCATGTTGAAGAAACGAGTGGAGGTAGAGGTACGTACACCGACAACGAAGAACACACCGGCGAAGACGGCGGCAGGCATAGTGTGTAACACCGTGAGCAAAGGACCGGTCATAGTACCCCAAATAGCCATGCCCATCAAGAAGTGACTGACACGCTGTTCAACAACGGCGGTAGCCTCTGTAAATGGCTTACGGATTTCTCCGCCATCCTCCGTTTTGGTGACTTCAAGTTTCGTTTCGTAAACTGTCAAAGAGTCGGTATGCACAGGTGCTTGCGGTACAAGACCGTTGGGAAGGGGAAGGCCAATAACACCGCCAACAAAGCATGTGCAGCCGAGAAGGAAGAAATCCCAGTGGAAGCCAGCGGGCTTTTTCAGGGGATATTGACGGGCTTGTGCTGTAAGAGATGAAACATTCTATCGTGGTAGATTAGCATATATCATTTTTGGAACGGGTACAAAACTTACGTGGTCGTAGTAGAAAAGCAGCATCATCAAGAAACCAAATGGCAATGCTGCAAATACCCATTTGACGTCCAGATTCCAGAAGTCAATCACCCAATTTCTGTCCTGCGTCGGCTCAAAGGCGCCTGTAATAGGGACCCGGTACAGCCCAGTATTCTCCAAACGTCCGGGGATGTGTGAGAAGCCGACCCAGAACAAAGTTGGAAAGACGAAGGAATAGTCAGCGAGGATACCACGGACGCCTGGACCAAACAATGTACTTCCTCCAAGCTTCTCGAGGCCGTATACGGAGGCAAAGTAGCAGATGGCGATAACGATGGAAAGGTAGCCGCCATCGAACTCGGAAACTTCGAAGAGGTAAACCAGTTCTTCTACACCCTTGACTATGGATGTGTCAGCTATGTAACTCTGTTTGGCTAATTGCTAGATACGTACTGCAATAGATAATTCCGACATACATGCCGAATGTCTCACTTGAGAAGTCGGTAACATAAGCCATGTAATCACTAAAGTTGCCAAAGGATACGATCCAGTGGAAGATTGCAGCCCAGATACCGACCCATGCGGTGAAGGCTGGATAGATGGGAGGATCATACTGAGTGATAATGTCGAAGATGGTGTAGTTGAAGAGGGCGATAAGACCAGTGACGCCCACAATGGTGAGAGGTTGGCAAGCGAAAAGACTGAAGACCATTGCTGCTAAAGCGGAGGCGAAGAGGGCTTCATTGATACCGAAGAACTCGCCAGTTCGGCGGTACATGTCGAGCGTGAAAGCGATAGCAGGTAGAACACTGGATCTGTAAGGCCATATCTTGAGCATTCCACTGAGTAGACTTACTTGACGAAGTACATACGAACTGTACTAGCAAAGACTCGATAGGTAAGTGCATCGGTGATATCACTCCAGTAGTATGGTAATCTGCGTTTGACATCGTGATACATGCCACGTCCGGGTTGTAAAATGCGCCATCTCCGCCATCCTTTCGCGCCCTGGAAGGTGTATGATTCGTGCGTCGCGGTTCTTTCCAATCTCTCCTTGTTACTCGAATCTTTGGCGTCTGACGACTCCATTATGATGAGGGTGGGGGGTTGCACTAATAAAACGACAGATGTGTAAGAGCTGCGAAGCTGCACAAATTGAAGTTGTAGGGTACCAATCGGTACAAGTGATATGTAAATAGCTTGATTCAGACCCTGACCGCCCAGTCTATATACGCGGAGGCAAGTCCAATTACAAGACCCGGCGCACTACGATAAACAATGCCATAGCATGGCTTGGCATTTGTGGAGACGGGTTTTCGCCGTTGAGAGACGAACTGCTTGCGCAGTGAGTTGCTTGATAGCAACCTTCGCCATCGTAGATACAAATATACAGATAATTGCGAAAGCTCATCTAGTGAGATCGCTTCTGCGCTTTCTACAATGCTTTGTTGTTCTGTCGCGATTGTCACGTCTTCTGTTGAGGCAATGTTTGGTTGTTCGGTGACGTCTGCCGGAATGGAGAGCATGGAGCATGTAGTTAGTGTGACGGCTAGTTCCCGTGCCATGTTGGGACCACCATCAGCCCTGCGGCTTTTTTTGACTGCCCAGGCATCATCGAGCAGCATCTTCGATAACCTAGAGCAAAGTGCCTACCACGAACCGACTTTGCGACCGCAACCAACGTTCGAGTGGCTACGTGCAGCCGCAACAATTCTTCTGATTGGTTGAGATATTGTCTGCACGCCAAAATGACGCGCATTCGTCGCCGAGTGTATGACTGAAGCCAGGCACCATACCGCACCTGGTTAAGAGCGTCCCTAATCAAACTCCGGCTTCATCTGCTGCTTGAGCAGAACTTCCATCAATATCGTCACGGTTCCGCGTTCCACCATCGCGGCATATAGAAGCCGTGTACAGTGTTGCGACACTGCGACTTTCGACCCGGATATACTTCGGACAGCTTGGCCAGTCCATGAAAGCTCCGACATTTGGACGGATGCGCCTCTTTCTCTTACCTCACAGACGTCTTGTTACCTCACGCCCATAGCGAATCTTGTTCCGCGTCCTGAGTGGTTTTCTTTATACGGAGCCACCTCCGCAGTAATTTTCCTAGTGGACATCGTGGTAGGGCTTGTTATATCACACGTCTGCTCGCGGACTGCTCAAGCTTCTTAGCGTCCGGCGTCAAGTCCGCAGATCTAATCAATTTAGCGAGGTACTGTCGAGGCACTCCCTTAAGATGAACGGCCTCCAGGATATCGATGGGCTTTCCGAATGCATCGGTCGGGCCATCCAGGACCATCTTGCCAGATTGAACGTCAATATCGCATGGCCACAGCTCGACAACCTTGACCATCCCATCCTTCGCGTGGAGGCTTTCCTCGAAGAGGCCGATGCGAACCATGTAACAAGAGCGCAGTCCGAGAGGGTCGCGTCGGTACGTTTATGCTCCCACCACACTTAATCTGCTCGTGTGCAGTAGCGTATGCTTACATGTCCGTAGAGAACCGTCGATCTGGCGAGTATGAGAACGCCGGCCCCCACACAAAGTCCAATGCCGGTAGATTCTAACGACTGTGAGGAGTCATCGTCGATGGACGAGTCTAATCCCCGGGACGACCCGTACCCATCGGAACAACACTCCCGCGATACCCGTAGAAAAGGTACTGGCGGTCTAAGGGTGTCGCAGAACCAGTCGTCCTTTCAAGAAGATTTGACCGAGCACCAACGCCAAATGCAGGTGGATAGCCGAAGCTTTCCCAAGCGGAAAAAGGTACGTCGACTTCGCCAGGCGACATCGTATTTCCCGCCAACCGCTGGATACTCATCGAAGAACCATCGGGTTGTTGTTGCATGCCTCTACCAGCATTTCACGTCCGAAGAAGCTCGTGTCTCTAGGCCATACCAGCACTAGAAAGTATCTTGGAGGTCTTTGGCTGACTGTTCGCAGGTAGCGTCTGATAAGTTTGTCTTCCAGCCTTCCACTCTAGACAAGCTTATCATCGGAATTTGGGAGCAAGTACACAGTACACTCAACCTCGACCCGAAAGCTATATTCGAACAGTTCCAGGTATCGCCCAATGGATCCTCCATGGGTGTGGTTCGACAAACGCAAACGGAAGAGCCATCAGCAGCCATTACCACTTCGAACACGAAATCCGAATCCTTCAGTCAGATGAATGTTTTCTGTCGCAAGGTCACACAAGCGAGTCGTGTGTGCCGGTCAATAGAAATGATTGTACAAGCTCGCTGGGTCGAGCTCTTTGAGGAGCAGGTACAATATCGGAGCCAATCGAGGCCTGACCTGTCTACGACAAAGCACAGGAAAGCTGTGTTTATGGAAGCGTGCCAGGACTTCGACTGGTCTGAGTAAGTCCCAATACTTGCCATCGCGCATGGTACATCGCATTCGCTAACCGCCATACGATAACAGAAAGGAGTTGCGCAATAAAATGGCCATCTGGCGTGGTTACAAAGAAGTAAAAGACGCAGCGGGTTGGGCTGCGCTTGTCTTCGCTGGCATGGGCATTTACCGATTCTGTAAATACCGAGTAGGCTTTGATAAAGATGCGATGCGCCGGCTACGGAACCTGCGAAAGCGTCTCGAAGTCGCAGCCGATACCCTACATCCCCACTGGCGCCAGTTGTTGTCGATTGTTGGCGAATCGCAAACCCTCGAATACCCTGGACACCCGCACGATTGGGTTGTTTTTGAGGACGGATCGGATCCCGTACCCTTGCGCCAAACATATCAGCTTCACGATCCGTATTTTGCTTTTGAACACATCGACGAGTCAATCATTGATGAATCGGTCTGGGGATGCGAAGACCCACGATGGACGCCACAATCGAACGCTGTCGCTAGACCAGGTGGAGTGTACATCTGCGCTTTGTGCAACGAGCCACAATCCGACAACCCACAGGACAACTCATGTTTCTGTTTTCCAACCCTTTTTGGCTGTGTAAAGCGAAAGCCACCACCCGTTCAAATTGTCAGGACGCCGGACGGCAGAAATAATGGCCTCGTAGCGTTGACGTCGTTCGATCGTGGAACGGCTATCGGCGAGCTTGTTGGATTGATAACAAACGGAGTCAGACATCTTGACGTGTTGGACAGTTCAACACCCTTGGCTAATTACCAGATCTGGCAAGGCAGAGCAGGAAATTTCACGCGCTTCATCAACCATAGCTGTAAGCCGAACTCGCAATCCTCCACTTTTACCTGGCTGGACACACAAAGGGTAGTATTGGTCAGTAAGGGGATAGACGCAGGAAAGGAGATTACATTAGATTATGGGGACAAGTATTGGGCTGGGTTAGATAAGAGCTGTCTTTGTGGCGAGAGTTGCTGTAGGTATAGAAGAGATGGGCGGGTGAGATAGGCTTTAGGTCGGTAGTTAGCTCTGCAAATCATTAAAGCATAGCTCCGTCTCCAACAATTGATCGCACCCGTTGTAGACATCTAGGCCATATGACTAGCAAAGTTTTGACCCAGTGCGAATCCGAAAGCAGAAGCTCCCGTAGCCGTATCGATAAGACTAGCGCGATTGATCCCTGCACAAAATTTCGGAGACAACTGGAACTTGAGCCGTCGACATACATGCGAAACATCAACCACAATCATGGCGACCTCCGATTACAGTGATTCTGGTGCATCCGACCAGGAAATTCTCGAGGCACAATCCGGAGCTAGGAAGAGAAGGAGACTGTCGCCGACCGAGGATGTAAGCTCGGCTTCCGAAGCTGAAGTTGTCCAACCACTACCAGTCGCAGCCTCATCAATCTCGCGCATCAAAGCAAAGCAGCAAAACGCGTCGGCAGACGATGCCAAATCCGCCAGGTCTGTTGGAACCACACCGAAAACCAACCCTAAACTGGATTTCGCGTCGCTCAATGTAGCGCCATGGCTCGTCAAGTCGCTCGCAAGCATGGAGATCAAGCGCCCAACTGGCATTCAAGCCTCCTGTATTCCTGAGATTCTCAAGGGAAAAGACTGTATCGGTGGCTCAAGAACTGGTACAGGTAAAACTATAGCATTTTCGTTACCGATTCTGCAGAAATGGGCGGAGGATCCTAGTGGTATCTTCGCCGTTATTGTCACACCGACCCGCGAGCTCGCGATCCAGATCTACGAGCAAGTGAAAGCAATCTCAGCGCCACAATCAATGAAACCCATTCTGATTACCGGAGGCTCAGACCAGCGCTCCCAAGCCATCGCTCTGGCCTCACGACCCCACGTCGTCATTGCAACACCAGGCCGGCTAGCAGAGCACATCCGCACTTCGGGCGAGGACACAATCTGTGGCCTCCGGCGCGTACGCTTTGTTGTCTTTGATGAAGCCGATCGTCTACTCGCTCCAGGCAAAGGCTCCATGCTGCCCGATCTCGAGACCTGTTTATCCGCTCTACCTCCCAAGGAAACACGACAAACCCTTCTATTTACTGCCACCGTGACACCCGAGGTCCTGGCACTCAAATCCCAGCCCCGAGCTCCAGGCCGTCTTCCAATCTTCGTTTCCGAGGTCGATACCGAGGATCTAGCAATTCCACCAAGACTGCAGCAAAAGTACCTTCAAACGCCAGTTACGCACAAGGAATGTTATCTTCACGTCTTGTTGAATACACCAGAGAATAGCAAAAAGAGTGTCATTATATTCTGCAATCGTACAAAGACAGCCACGCTCCTGGAGTACATGCTGCGCCTCCTTGATCACCGCGTCACAGCACTGCACTCTGGTCTCAAGCAAAACGATCGTGTGGGTAACCTCGCTAGGTTCCGTGCGCAGGCTGCTAGGATACTCGTCGCTACTGATGTTGCGGCCCGTGGTTTGGATATTCCAGAGGTGGCGCTTGTTATCAACTTCGATGTGCCCCGTGATCCGGATGATTATATCCATCGTGTCGGTCGTACGGCTCGTGCTGGGAGGGTTGGTACGAGTATCACTTTGGTTGGACAGAGGGATGTAGAGCTTGTATTGGCGATTGAGTCGCGTGTGGGAAAGAAGATGGAGGAGTTTGAGGAGGAAGGTGTTAGCGTTGAAGGCAGAGTCGTCCGAGATGCGCTTAAGCCTGTAACTGAGAAGAAGCGCGAAGCTTTGTTGAGTATAGAGGAGGGCAGAGATGTAATGGGCAAGCGACAGGTGGGCATGAAGAAGAAGCGGGCGGAGTAGACGTAGCGACTCCCAAGACGATCCTAGGAGCTAGAGCTCTTGTATGAGTCAGGCGATTATTTTCAGGCTATACTTCGCTAACCACGACACTTGGTTGGTAGTGGGTGCAAAAACATATGCTCATTACGCTAGAACGCTGTAAAAACAACAACAACAACAACAACTTATGCTACTCACGGTGACCCTCTTCTTGGCCTGAATACCGTGTTGAAGTTCTTCTGCGTGACAAACCATGCGTTATGGGTCTTCCACTCAGCACCGGGTTGTTCAAGCTCAATCTCGAATCTACGCAGGAAGCTTGGCACCAGCTTGTAGATTTCCAAGAGGCTGATGTTCTTTCCGATACATGTTCTAGCCCCAGCGCCGAACTGCAACATGGTCCCCTTCATTTCCTTGAGTTTGTCCGGGCTAGCCTCAATCCAGCGCTCGGGCCGGAATGTATTAACATCTACACCAAAAACCTCGGGTCGACGTTGTACGACCCAGGGGTTACAGCCGACAATCGTGCCACCAGGGATGAATTCGCCGCAGATTTGCATGCCCTGTTTAGGCACGACGCGCTCAAGTATGAGACCGGGTGCAGGGTGAAGTCGGAAGGATTCTTGGACGACAGCGTCAAGATAGGTAAGCTTCTGAGCTTCGGGCCAAGAGACTGTCTTGTCGGAACGAGATTCGATAGTTCCGTCTGCTACAGCGGTGTCGAGCTCCTGCATGAGCTTCAGATATACACGTGGATGCTTGACAAGGAAATAGAAGACAGCTGAAAGCGAGATGGCTGTCGTTTCCGAACCGGCAAAGACCATAGATGTGCAGGTTGATAGGATGCGGTTGTCGTCCATAAAATCGTGATCATGGCTTGCTTGGGCAAACTTGGAGAGGAGGTCGATACCATGAGGGTTGGCCTTTTCGTCGTCGGAAAGACCGAAGCGCTTGATCTTTTCGACTTGGGTAGCGCGCTCACTGGAGCGGTTCAGGGCGAAGAGGGTGACAGGATGAACACGCTTATCTAGACCAATGCGCTGGGCAAAAAGGCTAATGGGGTTCTTCCATAGAAGACGGTCGAGGATGGGAATTTGACCGATCTAGGGAGGTGTGAGTAAGGAAATGACCATGGTGGCTTCTGCTTGTGAGGACCTACCGGCGCAACGTAGTCGAAGAACTTGCCCAAGAAGCCGATAATGTTGTCCACATCCTTGTTTCCTTCGACAAAACCCAGTCGTTTGCTCCATGTCAACTCTCCGATGACGTCAAAGGCGAAGAATTGCAACCATTGACTGAAGTTGCAGCTCTGCCCAGTCTTGGCAAACATATCCTCGGTTTTGTCGAGCCAGTATGTGAGTGTGGAGCTAACGAGAGGCTCGTAGTTGACGAGTGAGCTCATGGCGAAGGCGTTATTAACGCATCGGCGGTACTTTGCGTGAAAGTCTTCGTCGGTGGTGGAGAAGAGAGAGAGCAGCGGCGCTCCCTTGGACACGGCGCCCTGGACAGGGTAAAAGTCAGACTGGAAGAGTTAGCTATCGTCCAACAGACCTATCTGTATGCACATACCTTGTAGACGCCCTTGTTAAGCCCATAGATGGCTTTGATAGCCTTTGGATCCGCAAAAGACAGAACGTTTGGGCCTAACCTGACAATGTCGCCATGTTTGCGATGCAACGCGAGGTTGGTCCATTGATGGTTCTTCTTTGACACATCCCATAACCGCCACCAGTTGGAATATCCGGCTGCCCAATGCCCTGGGTACTTGTTCAGTCCTTTCCAGTACTTGTTGTTGAGTAGATATGCAATGGTCGTTGTTGCCAGTACAAGCGGCCAGTACCGCACAAGCAGCGGAAGGAGCTCGTTGGCCAGCATCTTGTGTAACCCGATCTAACTTGTTGCGGGAGATGTGTTCCGGGACCCAGGTAACAGTAGATTCGAAGCAGAGTAAGCTGCGAAATTCATATGTGACACGGTCTGGGGCAAGAGCTCATATAAATGGGAGCCAGCAGTCGGGCCAGTGCCGTCCCCTTCCCGCACTGTCACGCAGCCGTGTCGGAATCGGAGTGGCCATGGTAACGCGTCTGGGTGCTTGCGCAAGATTGTGTTGGTCGGCAGTTGACAGTTGAGGCGTGATATGATGAGGGTGGGTCCGTGGCTGGACTGGAGCAGCTTGGACGGATCGCGTGGGGACAGTAGCTCCGGGGCGCTTTCGCGGGGTAAACCTCGTCAACACAGAGAGCAACCATCGTTAGAAGCTGCCCATTCGCCTCAGAACTCGGTTATCGCGATACACTCAATCTATCCCTCTCCATGCCATTGGCCAACTTCTCCCTGCTGCACCAGACGACACGGTGCTGGAATCATTCCCATACTCCCTTACATCACCTTTCGTACGAGATTGCGCAGCATCGCCAATGTGCTCTGTGCTATTCTGGAACTGCCGACTATCGTCACTTCGACAGCTAAACCTTGTGTGAGACGATAGCGACGTTGTGTGGACCTGGGAAGCATCGGCAGTTGTATTCGAATGTCATAACTGCAACTGCCGATATCTTGCACGGAGGAAGCAGCGCCGAAGCCTCCGGACCCTCCCTGATACGCGCGTCACGTGTCCTCGGGTCAATATTTGGTCCCTCGGTTGTCGTGAAGTGGGCGTCTTCAGCAGCCCTTGGGAAACCCTGGGTTACTTTGCTTTTCTTATGTTCAACAAGATCAAGGCACTCTACGACTCAGTGAGTCTTTGCCCACGTCACCTACAGTGAGTGTCTTTCTAGAAAGATCCGCGCGTCATCGAGATCGTCTTCATGAGAACGAATAAGTAAACATTAGTACGTCTCGCGACCGAGCGGAAGCATCGGTTCCCACGCGTGACAGCGAAATTTGTTATTCGGAGGACCCAAAATCAGCGGCTTGCCGACATTAGCGGTTAACGGTCCTAACGAGATAGACACAGCGTGATGAAAGTACTCAATGAAAGTGGGAGTCAAGGTTTTGTATCGTTGATCTTGAGTAGTAGTACCTACGTAAGTACTTACTTGCCATCTACAGCTTATTTGATGCAGAACCTGATTAGAGTCGTCCTATGTACCCGTATAATGTATACATACAAAACAAACCCACGCTAGAGGCCCGACTAGTACGACATGTAACCACTTGCCCTGTATATTGGTAGTCGTAGTCCATACGCGACTGCTTCGTATGCTTAGTTGCTGCCGAAGCAATTTGGGAAAAGGGAACCGTAGCAGGAACGACTACCGCGGTTATTACCAAATCGTCATGGCTACACCGATAAAGGGGAACGAATTTGCATAAACCAATGTCACCCAAAACTACACATCTTAATTTTTTCCATAAGTTCTGATACGTGAGAAGCTTGTGAGAATGAGCACGTGTCCAATACAACCTTCAAAGCCTCGAAAGGAAGCGCTTCCACATGTCTACGTAACCGCCAAGGTCTGCAATCAGTACGTCCTGGAAACAGTTATCCACCCATGAAGCTTCTTACTACCCACTGTAAAGTGATGAAATGGTGATCTGAGGCATGTGGTTGTGGTGTAGCCAATCGCACGCCTTATCCTACAGACAAGGCGGAGCGTAGTTGGACTAGCCGATTGCCCGCCTTTACGAAACAATACAACCTTCGATTTCTCTCATAGGCATTGGAACCCTCTCTATCGTTTCGGTCTTTCCCTATAGCCGTGTTCACATATCGGTAGGTCTGATAATTTTCTGGGAGATCGACATTCGGAAGTCTGGTTAAAGCACATGTGCTATGCACGCGGTACTCAGTACCTCTATGCAGTTTCTGTGTTTCTCTTGGTTCCTCACATTCAGCGATGGAAACTTGTACATGCAGTATCGAGTCTGACGGCCTTGCTAATCCCTAGTCAGTGAATCTGGAACGCTAAGGAACGTTTCCCTCTACTGCCAGGCCAAGCCGTCTCCGTGGACGTAGTTAAGACCCCGTCTTTCGGTTACGGTGATGCTAAGATGCCAGGGATCGTCAAATGCTGAGCTTGGGTCCAAACGAAATGTACTCGCAGAGTTGAATGGTAGGTCGCTGTTGAAGACGGTACTGACAGGAGAGGAACAGCCTAGTACGGAAGAGTCGTTCAAGGCTTGTGCATAGCATTTGTTGGAAATGGGTAGGTTTGTTGCGGCTAGCAGAACAATCTTGGTGTCGGTCGTCCATATGGCTAGGTAGGATTGGAAAAGTTTCCGAAAGTTCGAAGCCCCAAGAGTAATCTTGCCCAGACCCACAGCGTTCTTAGCCTCATCATATACATTAGCTTTACGATGCACATACTATGTCTTCAGAGGTCACGAAGCAGCAAAGGCATCATGGAATGCATGACGACGGATACGCGGCTCATGTTGGTACGTTCCGCCAGTACACCAGCAACAGGACGCGATATCTGGGCTATACGTAGCCTTGTTTACGAAGGTATGACAGGCATGTTAAGGAATTATTGTCCATGGTGTTCACCATAAAGGGTCCGGACGGCACCAGATAATGTAGAGGAGGGCAGTCATGCCCATCCAGAATCTGCTACCAGCCACTTGCGCTCCGGACCTGAGCTCAAAAGAGCCTCGATCTTCATGGCTCTTGTGTGGATTTTGTCCTTAATCTTATAAACCAGGCCTCGTTCTTTCCTTCTTCCAACGACTGATCTGGGTGACTTGCAGTGGTGACAAAAGCTGGAGCCCGGGCCAATCTGATGACAATGCGATATGTCTAAATTGGGGGGAAGCTGATATAGAAGAAGAAGCAACATAGTCCGCCTTATATTGCGCTTTGTGGAGATGTGCAAACCCACGTGGGTACAGTGGTTACAGACAGCATTTTGGCGTTGCTATATCGAATGTAGATTGGAGGAGCGCTGTTTGCAAAAGTCCTACGTAAGATTAGCTGTCGAATTGGCACAAATCGTACAACAGAGATGGTGATGTTCTTGTCCAGGGGTTTGCCAAGTGATACATCATGCGAAGAGAGCGAAGTGACGAGACTATTGGAGTAACTACACGCGACTCTGGCATTGAGATTACAGTACACTATCATCTGGCCGACAGCTTGCTAGACCATTGGCATCTACAAAGTCGTCAGTTTTGACTATTCGGTGAAACGCATCATGGCTAATCGCCGCAAGTCATGCATAACTTGTCATATACCGGAGCACTGTACATACTTCTCCGCGGTAGTGCATATCGACGACGGCTGACGGTATCCGGGCGAGAGAAATATGAGGCTTCGGTGGATACGTCAGCGGCTGCGTAAGAAGGTCTAGATGCCATAGTGTACGAAATAGGAGCGATACTGTTATCCTAGCATGCAAGTCTAGCCGAAACAGCGACCAGTATGGCGAAGCGCCGACAAAGCTCAACAGTTATGCCGTGCATGCGGTCCGCTTGAAAAGGTAATTCAGGTTCCAGGAACATAGCTTGACAAGCGATGACTACCGTTCGTCTGCGGGTCATCAGTGGATGCAACCCCCCTTTCGTCTCAACATTGATTGCTGTTTAACCGATGAGGTTGGGGACGACGGGACAGGCATTCCACTAGAAGGACAATCCGATGTCCCCGATGATGATGTTCCCAAGTGTGCATGTTTCTGTAATCTGCAGTTTGGGGGTTCGCGGGCGAGAAGATGGTGTGGTGGATCCAGAGCTACGGTAGCCCGAGCTCCCCGTCACCTTGTCAAGGATGATGGGGGCGCGTACCATATCTCAAGATTCACCCCGCCCGCATCACATCCAGAGATGGTTTAGATGGAAGAAAGTTCTGATCCCTAGCAGACGGGATGTACCAACCGTACCACAAGGACCCTGGTCCCGTTGTTTCTCAACAAGATCTGTCTCGAAGCGAATACAGAACGATGGCCGAAAACGGGGACCTGATGTTTTCAAGGTGTACCTCACAAATCTAGCGCTGACACCAATGGAGACGCTTAGATAGCGGCAGCGAGCTAGGCACGGCCCAAAAATGCTTTGACGACAGGGAACTGCGATGTTCGACTTCAGTGCTCGAGGCGGGGAGCATAAGCCACAAGTTTTCGAGGGTTGTTGGGTAAGCAGGGACCACCTTGTGTAACCAGAGTATAGAAATGTAGCACCTCGTCCGAGAAGATGGTCAATCAGTGGTTGCGATGGCTTGTGATCCGCCTGCAGCACTGCCTACCGTCACTTCACGAGAGGTGAAAAGTGAGACCTTGCAGTATTGGCTGGGATGAGGACGCTGCGTAGTCAAAGTGGAAGCAAGGAAAAATCTGCAGCGCTTGAGGTAAGGACAACTGCCGCACTCGCAGATGCGCTGGTGAGTACGCTCGAAGCTTGCTTGCGGTGGGTGAGTCATCTAGATCCACGTCGCGATGCAGGGTGCATCCGGCCGTGGCTTCGCCGACATATTCTGAAACAGCCCGGATGAATTACGTGCATGATCAGTCATACTCCATGACGACGCTCTATCACGAGCAAGATATTGTGAATGTTGAAGAACGAAAGTTGCGCGAGGGACACGCCTGGGAAAGGGTTGAAGCATGGAAGGTCCGAAGGATTCACCCGCTTGATGTCGGCTTAAGTGGGGCACCTGACCCATCGCAACCCCCCTGTCGAGCTGAAAATACAAGAGAAACACCGAGCATCCTTACAAGATAGCATCATGCTCAATATGCACGATCCTTTTGGATCATGAAATCGATACCAGTACAAGCAAAAGCATCATGGTAAACGTGGGGCAGGCCGCCACGGCCGCGGCGTATGTATGTTGCCCCGCGTATTCGTTTGCTCTGAGGCGCAGTTCTTATTCCCAGCTGCAGGTCTCGGGGTCGCCTTTGCAGCTTCTGAAACATGGCAATGTGGGATGCTATCGATAAGTCCAACCAGATGGGAGACTACCGGACGACTACTGGATGGTGCTGGGATGGATGACCACTTTGCGTAATGCTCTCGCTTTGCTTCACTTGAGGATACTCCTCTCCAATCGCGTATTCGTAGACCCGGCAAGCGATCGGTGTTGAAACGGAAACGTCACCTCCGATGCAGTCTTCCTTTTGGGAAGAAGCGACCGTTTCCCCTAGACAAGAGTCGCATCGGCCGGGGCGAGATATTGCCAGGTCACTGTGGGTATCACGGGTATCATGAGGCCCGATTGTGTTGGTACAGTAGAGGTAACATCGGCAGCGCCGGACTGATCTGCCAGGCATCGTCACCGCCTGCACAGCCGCAACGTGTTTGTCCACGTGCGCTTCGGCTACGGGCGAGAGTGGCGCACGCCACTTGGGCTTGCTCGTCGCATTCACAACAACATCGTCATGCGAGCATGTTTGCGCAAACAGGAGTCGCAGAATATCGCATCATGCTTCAGCAGGCGCCGAAGCTACTCGACGATGGGACTCTGGCATGATAAACTTCTGGGCCGTCTGCGGCTCACATGACCGTGGGTTTTTCGGTAGAGCAGGGATTGCAAGCAGGGTTCTATGCCGGCTGATTGGGCTGACTGTTTGCAGCCCATTTTTAGGCTCAAGCAACGTCAACCTGTAGATGGCCCAAGACCACGACGACTACTCCGAGTACACCCACCTTGAAAGTCCTGCTCAGAGACACCCCTTGACAAGCGTTGGGAGCTCGTCCTCCTTTTTAACCGCACACCCTCCCGAAAGGGCAGTAAAGCCGCTGCTGTGTTTCCTGCATCTGGACACGCAAGGAAAGCTTCTGGAATGCGTGTGATGTCGCAACTCCAGATCCTCGACGCCCAACTATGCGTGTAGTTGCAGGCTTCAGGATGGTGCCATGCTCCGCGTACGGCGTATGCCCACTTGATGCTGCGGCCGTCGCGATCAAGTTTCTGCAGCCTCACATGCATGGTGAACCGTGAGCGTCGTCTTCAGCTGCCCTGGTGCAAGGCATTATTCGGTCATAGTTGTCGATTGCATTTGCTATTTCCACGAAAGAGGCTGATCAGACGCCTCTTTTGTTGTCATCTCCGTGGTTGCATACCGGAGTAGTCGTTTGCACAACTATGGCAGCCATGAGAGCATCGCAATCTTCGCGCACCTAGAGATCCGCCTACCAACGCGTGCGCAACGCGGTCGCCGTGTCCGTCGGTCAGCTTAGATCCGACTAGACCTGCAGCTGCAGACTCTCGCCATATGCACGTTTAAACAAGCTAGATGCGCAGTGCAGCTAAACGGGGCAGTGTGCATGAAATCCTTGCCGAGCTGTGTGGCCAACGCCGACCCATGATCGTCGCTTGTAAGCTCTTAAGAGATCCCACCCACCACCACTAGTACCCTTCTCTACCCTCCACCTCCCACCTCGCCTTCCCTCCACCTCATTCGCCCGCCCTTCCCTGTCTCTCCTCCTCAATCCAAGGCGCCTCTCGAAAAATTATATCCGCCAGAGACATTTTTCTTATAACCTCTCTTTTGTTCTTTTCTTTGAATCTTTGATAAACCGTCCCATCTAATATCGCAACGTCTCGCACATACCACGAAACACACAATGCCGATCTCGTTACTACCCGCCTCGGCTGCGGCCTTTGCGCCCAGATCAAACGTCAACGTCGTACTAGCCTCCAAGGTCGAGCCATGGTTAACACAAACGCTCAAGAGAGTGAACCGGGTCAAGCGTCCGTTGAATAGCGTCCAGCAACACACGAGGTGTCTCACAGAAACTCTTTCAGGACCCAACGCTATGTGGTCGCTGTGCTCCATCATGGTACCAAAGGCCCCAGATTCGGAACTGCGCAAGGACTCCAACCCACTAGTCGAAGCCCTCTTCAACTACCAGCTTATCCACATTGAGGCCTACGTTGTACACGTCGACATGGTTTCACAACATGAGGTTGCATTCAAGCTTACACCAGAGACCATCGAGGCGCTTATCGAGTACCACAAGGACATCTACTCGGTTGATGTATCTGCCAGCACCTGGGAGTGGGCCGAGAAGGAGCAACAGCTGAAGAAGCTCCAGGATGGATTTGTCCAGGCTGTCAACCGCTACGTATTCCGAACTGGTGTCAAGGCTCTGGAAGGACTCGAGGAGGATGGTGCGGGAGAGCTACTCGAGGGACGAGGTGAGGACGTCAAGAGCGCCATCATGGGCTTGTTCCTCCCGCTCCTTCCCCCTCCTCCCAGGATCGTCGACGTTGTCCGCCCAGCACCACTTCTTCCCAGCTCGCCTGGCTCAGCCAACTGGTGGGTGCCAACACAGCAGTACCAGTCGCACTCAGCCCCGGTCGACCAGTGGAGAGTGGTTCCTTCTACACCCAGCCCGACCATTGCTACCTGCGGTGAAACTGGACAGACGTTCTGGAGCACCATGGGCACCATGGGCTTCGAAGCGATTCAACTTCCGTCACCGACACCCTCGTACAGCCAGCCATACAACTCGACTAGCCCGTATGCACAGAGTACTAGCCCGTACGCGCCCAGCACGAGCCCGTACACGTCAAGTTCGTACTACAGCCCGCCCCCAGCGTCGGCACCGATTCCAGCCCTTCCTCTGCCGAGCGTGCTAGCCCAGCAGTGCGGGTCAAGCGCCGTGCACGGAGGATTCGGCGGCTTCGGATGGGACACAGGATTCGCGCCACAGTACGCAGCATTCACATAAGCTGGATGACAAGTCGACTGTGGTGCATGCACCTGTTCTCTGTCGATGTTGGGAAGCGTGGACCTGGCCAGTCCCCTTGCCCTTCCCTTTACCGCGCAGGTTGGCCGCGCACCAGCCTTGCGACGCCCGACACGAGACGAATGCGATATTCACGACATGATGTGCAAACATCACTACCAAACCGGCATGGGACGGCGTTTTGTCACTGATTCTTTTTAGCGAGCGTCATTTCTCCTCTCATTCTCGTACATGTCTATTTTTTTGATACCTGTTCTTGTCTCTTTGTTTTTAGCGAGCGATTTCTTTTTTTGTCACCACAACGGCCGGACCAGGTCTTTTCATTACTTGAATACAGCATCTCTGGGAGGTTTGCATGTCGGGCATTTCAACGGAAGACGGATAAACACAGCCTCACGGCTCACGATGTCAGGAACACTCGGTTTGGGTTTTTGCGATTTTCTGTTTTAATGTCGTTTACACTCCTGGACGGATGCGCTATCTCTTCGTTGAGCCTGTGGCATGCCATGACTCTTACGATCTGACGCGATTCACGTTCACGAATTTGCCTACTCAGCCTGGCATTGAATGCTAGCTGGACATGCTGAGGGGCGGCGACAAAAGTTATACATGCATCTGCGATGCCGCTGTGATAGCTCGTCTCTGCTGCGAAGGAGGACTGGGTCGAGACTTGGGAAGCGACTGTGCGGGGTCAAGACACGAGTACGCCCGTGGCGTCTCTGGCCTTTGGGAGGTGGTCTTCTGCTTGCGGAACAAACACTTCCCGATGGACCTCTGCACTTTTACCGACCTTGATCGACTTGGGATACTGGCTGCACAGAGACTGTAGGTTCATCTCCTACACTTCAAGCTAGTCTTGGAAGAAGCACTCTCCCAGTTGAGCTGGGAGCAGTTGAATCGGATGCTGGACAGAAGCAAGCTTCTTTAGCCTTCTAAACTTAATAAAAAACGAAACTTTGAATCCAACAAAAGAATTTTCTAGAAGGGCGCATTGGTGCAGTGATGTATGTGTGCAATAGTGGAGCCGGGCTGGAGCGGATCTGTGGACCATGGTGCTGGGACAAAGTGAGGGTCGATGAGGAGGTCTGTCTGGGGCACAAGCGAGGATGATGCAACTGTGCCGCATGCCTCTTTGCGCAACCCATTGGTAGGGCGGAGCGGAAGCCAACGGCGGGACAACGGGGGGGGTAATGCATGGCGAAATTGGGTGGGCTATCATGTGCTATTGCGGTCATCAATCAGGGCGAAGGGATGTCATGGCGGCATGTTTGTTTTTCACCAGAGTTTGACATGGTCGCGTAACACTTTGGCCGAGGACACGCCTTTGCCTCTGATCTCGAAACATTGTGCCCTTTGCGACGACTCATCTGACCATGCCCGCTGCGCCGCGCGCTTCGTCATAATGCCGCCCGCCAACTCGCCTGTAAGGAAGCCCATTTCCGTCGCCGGCTGCACGGCCGGACAGCCCAAAGTTGAAGAGGCACGACTGACGTAGCTGCACAACAGGACGACCCGGAACCCGCCTTCATCTCTGCCTTGCGTGAACTCGAGAGCCCCGTAAACCACGACGTCCTCAACCTCGCCGCCACGCTGGGCACCCAGACGGACCAGGGAGAAGACGCCGCCGCCATCATCATCGAGGTGCCCGCAGGCCTCAACGCCGACGACGACGATATTGAACGCGCCCACGTGCACTATCTCCGGGCTGCACGCGAGCGGGACCAGGCGCGCTTGAACCGCTCACAGGAGCGATTGCGCCTCTTGGAACGCCAGCGAGACGAGCTCGAGCAGCGAGACCGGCTGAGGAGAGTCATGTCGCGGCTCTCGAGGCTGTCGGACAACAACTATGGCGACCGCGTCCCCAGCCAGAACAGCCTGTACGACTGGTCGCCCGCCAACGACGCCGCTCCTGGCGCGCCCGAGAGCTCCTTGCGGTCGACTGCCATCCTGCAGTCGGCAGGCGTGCGCCGACACCCACGCTTCTCTGCGCGCACCAGAGAAGGCGCGACGACGACGGCGACGACGACGACGACGACGGGCAGCGAAGCACCGCCACGCCACGTTTCGCATCGCAGTCTACGGGACATGCTTGCCGCGAGATCGAGCCTCTTCAACGAGTCGTCGGAGCGAGACCGCCAGTCGAGCGCACGCCAGCGATCCAACGAGAACAGAATGTCGCCCATGCTGGAGCAGACTGTCAAGTATCTTTCGCGCATCCGACACTGCCAATCCGAAGACGAGAGCTGGGAGCGTGCGCGAGACGCCGGCATCCTGACCAAGGACTACTTCTTACAGCACGCAGACTTCGTCGCCGACACGTCGCACATAGCTCCGCCCACCGAGACGTCGTGGCTAGCGCCAGGGGCAATCCTCTCGGGCTGTCAGCATGCGACGACTCTGCCAGCCGTCACCACTTCGTACAGTCGGCACGTGGGGCTCCCACCACCCATCCGGCCGTGGATATGGAACCCCTCCGAAGCCTCGACGAGCCGGACCTCGCACCACGCCGACGCGCAACCGCACCAGGACCGATGGCCGGTCAAGGTCACAATACACGACGTGGATTGGGACCAAATGTCCCTCTCCGCAACCATGGAAGCGTATAACGTACCCTCCCACCCGCATTCGCACACCATCTTCCCCACCAACAACACCACGCCGCCCGTCACACGCACGTCCTCGATAACCACCTACCTCGAAGGCGAAATCCTCGACTTCAACACCCACACCCTCCTCACCGAATCCTTCAAATCAAACGCCGCAAACGACGCCACATACTGGCGCAAGCTGCCGCCCTTCCACAAGATGAGCGACGAAGACGTCGTCCGCGCACTCACGAGCAAGAAGTGGCTTACCCAAGTCCTTGGCCAGGACTGGATACTCATGCGCTGGAAAGAGCGATGTTTCGTAAAGAGTCTCAACCGCAGCACACCCGATCCCCTTCAACCGCCGCCCTCCACCACGATACCCTCTTCGTTCCCTACCGCCGACGCCGGTCCAGCGCCCAATCCCTGGGCCGCGACGGGTTCCGCAAACTACGTCCCCGCCACTTCCAACACCTCTGCACAACCCTCCCCACAACTCCAACCTTCGCCCTACCGCATAGTCCGCAATGCGCAAACAGGTCGAGCCGAAGTCGAAATCACACCACAACCCCTCTTCAATGCAATAACCAACGATGCAGAACACGCTACCTTTGACGACTCCGGCTGCGGGCTTACAATCAGTGGCTTCTACTACGTTGCGCTCGATCGGAGAAACGGCATGCTGGAGGGATTATATTATGATCCGCAGAGCAGTCCGTATCAGTGTTTGAAATTAGAGAGTGTGAATGGCGGGCTAAGGAGTGCTTGGGGATTTAGGTGATGCGGCAGAATCGCTGCCTTGAAAAGAGAGTGTCAAGACAACACAGAAGATGGGCGTGGAACAATTGCATTGCCATGGAGTTTTGTATTGGATATGGGACTGCACCGCCCATTGAGGCTCTCCCAGATGGATCGGGATCATGTTTTACTTTGTCGCTTATTACAAGTTTTGTTAGATGATGTTTGTTCCACAGAAAAATCGATATACTACTTTCAGCTCTTACAAGGCCCCCACCGTGAGTAGCCAAGAGTATCCGGGTGGGTCCGTGAATATTCAGTAATACATTGTAGGCCTTAACACACATAATACGCTGCAGACGCTCTACACGCGTATTTTGTATAGATGTACCAGCAAGCCGCACGCAGTCAAACCCTATCCACCAATGACTAGCACTGCATTACAGCCCCGCACCCACATGCAGTAAATCCTGCCGAGTATCGTCATCTTTCGAGACCCTTTCGGCGTGCCGATGGGCTACGCGATGGACCCAGCATAGAGGCGAACACTGAAAGAGTCACCGTAAAGTCATAGTATCCAAGTTCTGGGAAAGATACAAAGCTCGTCGTCAGTCCCGAGTGAATTCCAATCCAATTCAAACTCAACACATCAGTCCCCATTACTTCACTGGAAGCATAAACAGAGCTAAGCATCCATCATGGCGTCTCCGGAATACCCTAAAACACCCGTCAATAAACTCGGTCGTTTAGCAAACCGAGCTGCCTACGACTACGCCACCATTCACACTCTCGTTAACACCTGTCCTATTCTCCACGTCTCCTTTGTCGACCCCGAACACCCCTTTCCCGTTGTCCTACCCATGATAGGCTGCACTGGAAACTTTTCCTCGCCTTCCTCGGACCCAGCAAGCACACCTCAGGATCTTTACATTCATGGCTACGTCTCCGGTCGTATATTCAAGAGCGGGAAGAACGCCGATGGCCAGGGATTACCCATCACAGTCGCAGCCAGTTTTCTCGATGGTCTCGTATTGAGTCTGACGCCGTTCCATAATTCGTGCAACTACCGCTCTGCTGTTGTGTACGGGTATGCGCAGTTGGTGGAAGACCAGGAAGAAGCCCTGTACGCTATGAAGGCCATTACGGATAACATGCTCCCCCAGCGTTGGGACAAGTCACGCACACCGCCCACACCTGCCGAGCTCAAGTCTACGTCTATCTTGCGTATTAGAATTGAGAGTGCGAGTGCGAAGATAAGAACGGGTGGGCCCAGTGAAGACAGGGCCGATTTGAAGAACGCTGAGCTTGTGAAGAAGACTTGGACGGGTGTCGTGCCGTACTGGGGTACTTGGGGTGAGCCTGTGCCGGGTAAAGAGAATGGATGTGAGGATGTGGAAAGCTATATCGAGGGCTGGAGGATGAAGGAAACGGGACAGGCTCGAGGGTATGCGTTTGAGGCCATTGATATGGACGGGAAGAAGAAATAAGGAGTGAAATAGGGAGAAAGAGGTGGATTTTAGGAGTAGCGGAGGACCTGGAATTTGTGAAAGTTTGCCTCATGAGTTGGTGCGTTCATTCTGCATAATATCAGTTTGTGGTTTACGCAAAGTTGTTACAATTATTGCCTGCTTGCCGGAATAAGAGGATGATCAACAGCTTTTGTCGACCAACAATTCTACATATTAATCACAATCATACAAGCAAACAATGTTGAAAGAAGCATGCACGTACTAAGTTTGGTTTTGAGAAGTACAAGTATGTGCACAAGGCTTTCCAATCGAATCTGTCTGAGCCTAGCCTTCGCCTTATACAGGATGTCTTGTATATACCATCCATCTATGTGATCCCATACAAACCTCAACAACTTTTAGACGCCTTTACAGCTTCGCCTAGCATCCTTGAGGCGGCTTCTTGCTGTACATGCGCCAGTAGTGCACATTCTCTTCCGCGGTGAACTTCCTCTCCTTTGGCTCGCTAGCCCGGATTTTCTTCTGAATAGATTTGTCCAAGGCCGCGTCTTTCGCAGCCTTCGCAGCGAAGAAGGCCTTTTCGTCTGCCTGCTTCTTGGCCGCACGCTCAGCCTTCTCCAGGAGATAGGCCTCGTGACGAGCCTGATTCGCTTCCTCTCGGGCACCGCGTTTGGCAAGCCTCTTCATCTTGCGGAGATAGGAGTCATGCTTCTGGACCGCTATCTTGATGGCATCGTCGAGAATAGGGTTTTTCGCTAGACAAACAGCAAAGTCTTCAGGATCCGGTATCGTGCCTTCCCATACATGCTTGATGAGGCCATTGACGACAATCTTGAAAAGACGCTCGTGACTAGTCTTGAACGCAATGATGGCGTCAATGTCTTCGTACGCCGGCGGATCATGTCGAAGAAGAGCTTCGCACTTCTTGTACAAGTGGACAGTGTACTTGTCCATTCCAAGTGCACGAGCTGCAGCACATACACCTAATGTCTTGGCCATATTCAGGGCGCGAGTAAAAGGAAGCGGCTTCGCAGTGACCTTGACGATGGCTTGAAGATATTCTACCACACGAAGCACACCGCTCTCGTCAGTGTCTGCTGGCAGCTCGATCGTACCGTCTTTGAGAATGTCGCCAACCGTTGCAGAAGTTGCGCGTAGCAAAGGCTTCGAGATTGTCGTTATAAGCACGCCGTCGATAAAGATCTGGATACGGTCACCCTTGACTAGCATTTGACGGTCGGCAAAGGACCAGTCGCGGATGTCAATGTCCTTGGCTGTGATCTGGGAGGCAGATACGAGAGCAGCTGCGTCTTTTTGCTTCTTGTTGACCTTAGTCTTCGTGTCAAGGAAGATCATATCCCAGACTTTGGCATCGACTGGAATGTACTGGCTAGGGGAGCGGGGGATTGGAGACGTCATGGTTGTTTCCTGTTTCTTCATGGGTCAAGTAAGTCTTGTTGTAGTTGACTTAGAGTTGATGATGGTAGTCAGGAGGAAGGACTTATTGAAGGTGGTGTTCTTCGTGAGCTCGTCGCAACGTGCAATAATGAAAGAAAGTCCAGGTCAAAAGTCAGTTGAGTCTAGGATGTTGAGCGTGGGTCCGGGGAGTGGGAGAATTAGAGAACTGTAGGATTAGGGTGCTTTATAGCAAGAGGAGAACAGTGAACTGCGATTGTGCAACCTCACGCGGCTCGAACAGTGAATTCATTCTGTGGTTAGATTATTCTTCTGTAACGTGAAAGGCCGAGGAAGTCATGAAGGTGGCACTAGAGAAAGGCTACAAGATCGAGGTCAGTAAGGTTGGCAAAGACCAGGAATTCACACTTCGTTTTGATAGCTCAAGTGAAACAATCACTTGATGTCCACATCGATTCAGGTCGTAAGAAAGCGACTGAAATACAGACTCACTAGCTCACCCCCGGCTAATAGCATGGCTCCGATACAGACTCACATTTGCTTAGCATCCAATGCTCCATGGTGCGGCAAGATTGGCTTCAGACTCTTGACATGGTCCAAAAAGCACATAATGTTTGCGTACCGATTATTCTCTGGTCCCACGATTGCCGTGTTTGCCGGGTTGAGGAAGCTGTGCGGGAATCCCATGTCGAAGCCATACGCTGCATCAATCTGCTGGATCTCTTCTGGCGTTAGACCCAGACAAAGAGCCTGAATATTGCCCTCGAGATGAGAAATTTTGCGACCACCTACAATGGGGAAGACGTACGGCGACTTGTGCATAACATAGGCAAGAGCAACCGACGTGATCGGAGGCACTGGGCTCTTTGCATTTGCAATGTCTTCGAGAACGTCGCTAACCTTCTCCTCATTGCCAATGATCATCATCTCCATCTTTCGGCCACCGTCTTCTGGTTTTTCTCTTTGCGCCCTTGTCTTGAAGCTTCCACCTCCGATAGCACCCCAAGGAGCCAAAGCCATGCCTTCATCAAGTGCCATGGGGATGATCTCACGCTCGAATGAACGCTCAGCGGCAGACCAGCGGCCTTGGTAGATTGAGAATTGGCGAAGACCATGTTGCCGGGCATAGCAGTTTGCTTTGACGACGATCCAGGCTGGAGTGTCGGAGATGCCCAGGTAAAGGACCTTGCGGGAGGTGACGAGGTCGTTGAGCGCATTCATCAGCTCTGGTATAGAGACCGTTGAATCCCAGAGGTGAACATAGTACTAGCAAAGAGGTCAGGTATGGTACTAATGTTAAGACGCCTCAACTCACAATATCCGCATAGCTCGTTCTCAGCGCCTTGAGTGACCGCTCAATACTCGTATACATATTCTTCGCACTGTTGCCTCCATAGTTACTCTTGCACCTTGCACTGCCTTCCTTCTCCTTCTCCGTGATCTGCATTCCAGTAAACTTTGTTGCAAGCACCATCTCATCTCTAACATCTCGCTTCTCCATCCATTCTCCGATCCACTGTTCGCTCTCGCCGAATTGATAGTTGACGGCAGTGTCTATGAAGTTGCCGCCTTGCTCGTAGAAGTAATCTAGCATAGCAAAAGTCGTCTCTTTACTACATTTGCCGAGGGAAGCCTTCCAAGCCTCTCCAAAGTTCATGGCACCGAGACAGAGAGGTGAGACCCGGACGGCTGCTGTGGGGCTGAGGATACGATGTCTACCCAGGGGAGACACTGGTGCAGTTGGGGTGATGAAAGACATTTTGCTATTGGTTGTGATGCAGAACTGACACTATTAGACCGCCTGAGTGGTTACGATAGGACTTTTGAAGTCATTGCGGTTTCCCTTTATATGCGGCTTAACGCCGTGAGCTCCATGTCTTAACGCCGATGGCATATGCAAACGAACTGTCAGCCTGGCCGGGCGGACAAGGTCCATCAAACCAGTAAGGTATCGAGACTGATCATCTCAACCCACCTCTTCACCGAACAAACCTTCTACCCATCCCTCTTCGGACCAATCCGCCTCCCACACTGAGCCTTCCTTCCGAGCTTGAGCCGCGAATGCTCCTATTTTCTCTTCAACCACACAGACATCAACACCCAATTCTTTCAGCTTCTCGAAGATACGTATAGCAGTATCGCCTTCGAACTCCTTAGGTCCAACGCCGTAGCCGTATCTGCACAAGAGGATAATCTCGCATAAATATGGCGCGTCAGTCTTGTGATCGACCAGTATATCAAGCCACCCAAAGATAGCTAGGGTGGGGCATATTACAGTGAGCGACTCGAGGTTCAGGGGTGGTATGATACCGTTGAAATAGTGGTGTTCATTGAACGTGTTGCGTGCTTCATACAGTAGCACCCCCTGTAAAACCTCCATCTTGGTCAACTTCGGGAACGAGTGAAGATCAAGCACGTTTGCGCAACCACCAAAACAACGCCTTGGATCGAAGTGGTCGGAAACTTCATAGTCAATCCTTAGGTACCCCAAGCTTGCAGATACATTTGCTGCGGTACTGAGAGCGCGCGCGATGTACTCGAAGCTGCCACGCCAACGCTTGATGGCTGTAGGGCTCCGCACGAACAGTATCTCGAGATGAGTAATATTCGATTGAGGGAGGCCTTGTAGCAACAACGGAAGCTTTTCGTCGTGATGTAGATGGGTCTGGGTATGAAGCTCGCCCCAGTCGCTTCGCACGATCAGTGTGTTAATATTCGGATAAGGAGGTAAAGGGCATACGGCCACTGAATTGGTAAAAGATTCATGTTCCGCAATGGCCACATCTGGAGCACTATACTCCCGCCATAGATCAATTTCTAGGACCTGTAAAGAATAAAATGGTAATTGCAGCATACGCATGCTCTCACCAAAGATCCTCAGGCGCTTGATGGTACGAAATTGTGAAAAGCCTGACCAATGGCCTGGTGTATGCTGGACTTTGTCGCCTTCAATTCCATAGAGCGCCCTGTATATGTCGAAAACGGGTACAAATAAATTCTCGTGAAGGTATACGTTGACGTGAAGCATGCGAAGGTTGTCGCAAAGTGCGAGAAGTAGCCCAGCTACACTGTTCAGCATACCAGCCATTAGTGCGGACCGCCAAGTTAGCTCCTCTACGCTCTTGAACGGACTCTCTGTCCCGAATAGATCTAGTCTGTTGACACTTTGAGCTATTTGCAGCAACATTGCCGCGTGCACGTCCTCAGAGGAAGCTGCACGCTTCATGGCTTGCTTGAACACGAACACAGGGTTGTCTTTAAGAATTGTGATCCCCAAAGTCGTTGTAGAGAATGCCAATTGACGGATCTTGCTTCCCAGGTCCGGTTTCTCAATGATAGTTCTCACAAGATAAATAGTATTGTCTTCTCGACTGCGGGGCAGGTTGATGGTCCGATACAAGAGATGACCACCAATCACTTTGAAGCGGCGAGAGACCTGGGTAAGACTTCCGAGCGCCTGGTTGTCCCCTTCAAGATATGTGGCTATCTCAAGTAGCAGCTCGTCGGGTAGATCATTAATGGAATGGGCGACGATCTGAAGGGCATGTTGGCGCGGTTCGCGGTCGATTTTCTGGAACTTCTGCGAGGTTCCTGTCTCCAGGGACACCATTGTGAAGTATGGTCTCGGGTGAGTCTTAGCAATGCCGAATCGCTAGAATGGTTAGCGAGGAAGTAAGGTGGGCTGAAATGATTAGGTAGACTCACTTGCGTTACAGTCTTACCAGTCTCTCCTGAGAGGCGACTTGAAAGAAGATTTCTGGGTGTATGGGATTGCACGAGATTGTGGTAGTTGTGTGAGCCAACCAATGTAGAAGGTGCAAACGCCGCGTCAGTCACCTGTTCCTGCAGAGAATCTGCCCGACCCACAAAAACGTTTGTTATTTTGCCAGTCGGTTTCTGACGTCCGATGTCTACAAGGAAAGTAATGTGTTATTCTTCTAGTTAGTTCCTGGAAACGTTGACTACTAAACATCCAGCCTTTCTACACTTTCTCGCCCGCAATGCGGCGAACCCATTGAGCAGTCTCGTCTATCTTGCTAAGAAAAGGGCTGTGACTGGACTTGATCCTGGTCACATCGATATCAGCCCCAGCGGCCTTGGCAACCTGGATCATCCCCTCCTGCGTCTCCGGAGCAATGGCGAGATCTTCTTCACAAAGCAGGTAGCTTGTTGGGATGACTTTCCAAGCTGTGCCCGTCGCCTTGGCCGCGGCAGACCCAACTCCATGAGTCTTGACAAGCGAGAACCAGTGCTTAGATTCATTTTCGGGGACGTCTTTGTAGAAGACGTCGAGGTCAGTATAGATCAACTGATTCCCCTCAAGTTTGATCCAGTCCGGGGGCTGGCCTTGGCCCCGGCCTAGATCCGAGATACCGACTCCTTCAGGTAAGAGAAAACTGGTGATATAGCCAGTCCTTATGACACCGCCTCTTTTGCCTACCGCTTCCCTTTCCTTCTTGCTCATCCCGACTAACCCAGAGCCGGCAACGAGGCCAGCCCAGCTATGGGGTATCACGATAACATCGTTACCGTCTCCAATGGCTTCTTCAACTAGTGAACGCAGAGCTGTGATATCTTGAGAGAGATCTTCAGGGGGACTAGGGTTGTCTACGGAGGGCATCTGGCGGCAATGAGTTGTGTAACCAAAAGAGTTTAATTTCTCCATCAATGGAGCCATATGCACAGGGACATGCGCTGATCCTGGAACAAAAAGAAGCTGAGGTTTGGACATGCTGGAGGTGTCGTCTGATGATGAACGGGTATGAATTGCTTGAAGGGTTGTGATACTGCTGAAATGCTATCTCAAAAGTCCTAGTAAGTATCCTCATACTTATAATGTTGTATAAGCTTACCGTTAGATAAGCTTAGTCTACGAGACACCCTACCCTCTGCGCTTTACGTAATTCAACTAGGCCTACCTAGGTAGTATAGACGCACGAGTAGAGAGTAGTTCTTGACTAACCGGCCTTTGCGAAGTGCTAAGAATAAATGACCCATCTCTCGCTCATTTCTAATTGAACATGCTCTTTCTTTGCTGCCGCAAATTACTGTCAGAGGCGTAGACTATAGCCAGGTGTGTACTTTCCGTGTACAAATCCAGTCACCTAGGTAGTTAACATTCGCGAGCTCTGTGAACGCGCATCGTAGGTAGCTTCAAACCCGAACCGAATATGACGAGCCTTCTGCGAGACCCTAGTGCCACACTGTAATTTCACATGATGTAGATTTGTCACTCCCTGAGTGCGAGCACACATGCAGGCAGATAACAGTTCGCAAATGAGACATCTGCGTTTAAGCTCTGCCTTAATGATCAGTGAGACAGTATTACGTTTCAGGATAGTGAGGAGAATTAAATGTTTAGTCTAGGCTAACAATGCTTCTAATCCATCAGCAGCTTACATAAAGTCCGCGTTAGCATCTACTTGAGGGTCGCGCTGGCTAAGCGTACAAGCCTCAAAAAAGCAGAGAAGCCCCAATCGCATGCTCGAGCTGAAGTAATCCCTATCTGACACATGTTGAGCGAGACAGTGAGTGTGTGCCAACGGAGCATCAGAGTTCTCGCAACCCAGGTGGTGTAGAACAGAGGAGACGGCGTTGATCCGAGTAGGTCCGCTGGCCTCTGATTTGCTCAGCACAATCTAGCGTTATAACAAACATGTCGTGCATGAGTGAGCCCTGCACCTCGGCTTTGGCTCAAGGAGATCGCGGGATTTACTTCCTGTTTCGTTGGGGATTCACCATGACGTCACATCGATCCGCGTCACGCCGCCGCCGATCCAACGACGCATGCCTCGCATTAACGGGAATCACCACGGACGGTCCAGAGCGTCGCAAGCGCGTCTTGTTGTTGTATCGTCACAGTTGCGAAGTCTAGAGCCAAGAAAAGATGATTGAGACTACAAAAGGAGATCTGTCTTCACGATGTAGTGTGAGCTAGACAGCGACATGTCTCAAGGAATTACGAATCTGCAATCAGTTTACAGAACCAGAGCCTTCCTCAAACGCGTTGCACGAGCTGAATCAAGCTGGAATTCATTCAATGCTTTGGTCAATCTTAAGGATGCTAAATGATCACTGTGATAACATCATTTTCCTCAATCCGATACCTGGATCGTGCTACGCATCGAACACCAGATCAGCAAATCTTGCACTGGTCGTTTCGTCGGTCTTCTCCTATGGCACCCATCACGGGAAGAAGCTACCGCCACCTAGCTTGTCCCGAAGATCACTCATCCACCTCGAGCGTAGTCGTTCCACGAGTCGATACCATAGTATTTCAGTAAAAATACGTAGGCACATTTTCCCACCCCTTTGCAATCGCAGCCTCTCGTACCACATCATACAGCCTCCTCGCTCTTGGCCAGACAGCTCGAGGCGGTATCTCAGCTCCTTTGCTCAGGAGAAATTGTATCACAGCCTTGTCTCTGCGCTCGAAGGCCATCTCCAATGGCGAACAAGTATGACCTGGAGATTCAAGCTTAGCCCTGTGTACCTTCCCATTTATATCTGCACCAGCGTCTAGGACTGCGCCGATGATAGGTATATCGCCATACTGGATGGCACAGCAAAGTGGGTGATCCTTGAAGGATACAATTAGACTTTTGTTGACATCTACGTTACCTTCATTCAAAAGCGTGTTGACAATATCGGTACTACCTGTACGGCACGCATTGGTGAAGAGATATGGGTTGACCTTGTCTCGCGAAGAACACAGAAGCAAGACCGACTTGACGATATCTGCGTTTAAACTCGCAATGGCAGCGTCAAGCCATTTGTTGTATGTTTCTTTTGTCACATAATGGGGAAGCCTCGGGCAGAACTCGACGAGTTCCTTGACAAAGCGAGATTTTCCGGTGTTGACAGCAATGTAGAACGCATCGTCGAAAGCGTATGCGGACCGGCACATATATCTGCCTCTTGGCGTTTTTATGAGCTGATTGAGATGATCCATAACTTCGTTGAAGAGGCCATTGTTATTCGCGGCCACGGCCATCACTAGTGGACATCGACCGATATATATGCCGGGTATCCGGGTGTTGAGAGGCATCGTTGCTAGCAGAGTCCGCACCAAGTCGAATGCCAGGAATGCCATAGCTGCTACGATCTTTTGCCAATGATCAAGCTCAGCATCGTTGTTTATATTCACAAATGACGTACAAAGTGGATGTATGCCCCATGAATCTACCCCACATCATGGTATTGACACGTGTGGGTTGACAGACTCGCACAAAACCTTCAATCATGCTAGTCTCAGTGACTTTCCGATCTTTCTCTGGGATCGCAAGCTCCCGGATCAAGTAGTCGGCCATACGACGGAGCATCTTGAGCAATGGATCGTTGACATCAGAGATCTTGTGAAGATGGATGTTTAGGTACTCGGCCATCTTGTTCTTGATGACTTTGGGCATCTTTTCGACAACATTTTCAGGCTGCTTGCTAAGCAAGTCGTCCTCGATTTCGGCGGCGAAAGTGCGACATACGCTTCGGAGCTTCCAAGTCGAGCTTGGAGATTCGGCGTTGAGCTCATGGACGATCATCTTGAATATTTCCGGAGTTAAGTCGAGAAGTTCCGTCATGGCTGTGTCGTGATGAGCTTAGTTGAAGTTCGGAGTTGATATCGAATGTGATGCGAGAGATGATGGTTGATGTGAGGGGAGTATAATGGAAGAGAAAGTGGCCAGAGGACTATGCAAGCACGAATATATAAATTTTGCCCTATTGTTGCTTCGGAATATTTACGTGAAAGAATTGCATGCTGCCTGAAGAAGGCACCAGAGTTTGCTAATTGGATCGTTCTCATTAGAAATGCATTCATGGTATGCGAAAGCCGCCGTGATTAAGATTCGGTTTCAGCGAGTGAAACAGAAATATCAACAAGATTGTTTTATTGGTAGCTGATCGGCAGAAACCAGGACGTTTCCCTGCGCAAAGTAGCTGTAGAGAGGCCGAGGGATAGGGGATAAAGGAGCGTTGAACATCGTTGGATGCTCTTGGAACAGAACAGGTAATAGATCAGATGAGATTGATTGGATGATCTATCGTACGTGAAGTAGGTGCACCTAATATAGGTGAATGAACAAAGGAATGTAACAAACAACAAACTAACTATACATGAGATGGAAGCTGCATATGGAAACCAACAGATGCCTTCCATGTTTTCTCTACATAACTTTCCGATCCGTCCATCATTAGATTGAAGTATGCACTTGTATCTGGCTCCAACACTAAACACCGTGACATCCGCCTAACCCCCATCAAAGATCTTCTCAGGCAGCCAGAGCATAGTAATACCGTCACTTAGCTATCTTGGCTGCCTTCGATCTCTTGCTTTTCTTTTTTCGCTCTTCCACAGCCTTCTGGAGGACCTTGAGTATCTTACCTCGAGAGGGCCAAATGCTCTCTGAAGGGACTTTCGCTCCACATTCGACCAAGTAGGCTACCACATCATATTTCTTGATGTGTATGACGTATTCCAACGGTGTGATAGTGGGGCGTCCAGGGATTCGGTGAGTAGTCATAGCGTAGTCGATGTCGGCGCCAGCTTCAACCACCTCCCGAACCATGTCTACAGTACCTGATCTTATGGAAGCTGCAAGTGCTGACGACGTATTGCTGCTAGAGTGCAGTTGTACTTGTCCGTGTTTGAGAAGCATCTTGACCACATTGAGGCTGCCCATTCTACAACCCTGTTCGAAGGTTCTATTGAGGATGTGGTAGGGGTTGTCCTCGGCTATAACTTGAAGGAGAGACTTCAGTGACTCGTCGTTCTGGCAATCAATGGCGAGTTTAACCCACTCACGATAAAAAGGCCTGTTTGTGAGGGACTTATAGTCGTCGAGGTATTCAAGCAGGAGGGCTGTGATTTCCGGGTGGTTGTTGGAGATGGAAAGTGTGACACCAACTTGAATGTTGTATATAGAATCGATGTGGAGCATCTGGAAAATTTTCCAGTACTTGCCCTTTTCCTTATCCAGGACATCAAGCATAAGTGTGATCATCTCTGAGTCTCCAAGCCGAACAGCAGCTGAGATTGGATAGTCCCATACACCCTGTCGAAGATATCTCGGCGCATCAGGTAGTAACCTAGCGACTAGCTCGTAAGCGCGTACGCTTAACGCCGCGATAAATTTCTCATGCCAGTCCAAATCCGAGCCGGGAGAATCGCACTGTTTCTGGCGCCACTCGTTTCTAATTGTGAGCCAAGATTCGTGTAAGAGGCCTGGTTCAGAGATCCACAGCAAGTTCTGGGTGTCTCGACACGTATCTGCCACACAGGCGCAAACTTCGAGTAAAATGTTGCGATCTTGGCGATCTTCTTCGGCCTCGAGCTCCTTGGTAACATACTCTACCATCTCTCGTATCTTCGTAGGCAGTTCGAGAAAAACATCGCGTGGATTCTTGACGTGGTATGCGAGGTAATGCTTCATGTTCTCTGGCTCGCTAAGAAGGCGACTTGCGCGACGAGAGCGGAAAGCTCCCTTGGGTTGGATGGCTAATATGTTCTCGCTGATCTCTTGATCGAAAGTGCCTGGGGAGTCAGTTCTGCATACTTACGCAAATGCTAAGAAGGGTGTCTTACGACAGACTCCACGCAGCTTCCAAGATTTGATCACTCCAGCGCCGCTCACGAGATGGTCAATCATGCGTCTAAAAGTCTCCGGGGGGAAATCGAGTAACTCCATCGCGACGATGAGTTCGCTACTGCGGTATATGAAACTCGAGCAACAAGTTTCGACTTAGCAGGTTCCAGAGTTCGACGCGACTGGCTTACTTACTATATGTGTACTGACTTGACGCTTGCCTTGCGAGTTGTTGGAGAGAATGAGCGGGAAGGGAAATCGACTAGGAAGCGGCAGCAGAAGGGGAAGTAGTGTGTGTATTATCGCCAAGCATTATCAGTACGTGACTAAAGTAGAGACATGTACACTGTCTCACGCAAGACTGGCGCCTGAATCCTAAAATGTAATTACAAGTTAACGGGCAAATCAGCGCCCTATCCAAATCAAGGTTTTTGTTTTCCCTCTAAGGGTATAGCTCAAGATGACTTTTGAACGCACGTAAATGTCAAGCTCGCCCGCAAAGCTCTGGGCTAAGAGTGGAGACATTGACCGGGCTCCCCTCATATTTGAAAAGGTAGCGCCTTCATCTTCAAACGAAGACTCGCTCATGTAATCGCAGACCCTTTTAGCTGGAAATAACCCAAGAAGAACATGCAGTACACTCAAAGCTTGCCCCTCACTTCATGTGACATACCGCGAAATTCTGTGTAGGACGGAAAATCGCGACAGCCGCTTCCCATCCTTTCACATTTTATATTCTGGTAGCAAAGCAGAAGACCTCTCTCATCCCACTCATTCGAGATTTGAGGCATATGTGAACCCCTTTTCAGAAGATAGTGAGATATGTCGAAGTTCCGCCTCTTGATCGCGACTAGGATGGGTGTTGTCTGCTTCGATTTCCAGGTAGATACGTAATTCACGTCCGCACCGGCTTCGACAAGAATCTTCACGATGTTCAAGTGCCCTGCAACCACAGCCTTGACTAGTGGGGATGAAGCAACTGCCTTGTTGTTGACATCGATGTGACCTTGATCGAGGAAGAATCGTACTACGTCTTCGCGATTGTGCTCGCACGCTGTCTGGTAATCGATCCATCTAACCTTCCAAGCGGAACCACGCTTAGGACTCCGGAGTGTAGCAACAGCTTGAATCATTGCAAGGCTGGACCGAGTAATTGCAGTCTTCAAGAAGCGATCCCAAACCTTCGCCGATATGGCAAATGTATGACTCTTGTACCAGCCCAACAAAAGATTGAGAAGGTCTTCATCGTTCTGACAGATTGCAGTGACGACTGCATCTCCCATGAAAGGATGCTTCGTGGAAAACATCGAGGGACCTGGAGGCGCGGATTCGTACATGTCCGTTAGGATAGCATCCCGTGTGCACCTCGGATCATTCGGGTCATTCAGGATTGCTGAAATGTTCTCTAGCATTGCCTTCACCACAGCTTCGTGACCAAGCTTCGTTGCAAGCTGCAGGGGTGCACCAAAGATAGGGTGGCCCTCAAAGCTTGATAGTCCCTGCATCAATTCGGGTATAAGATGATGATATCCCAGGCAAATGGCGGCCAACAGCTTATCGAGACATCCGAATGGGCGATGAAGGTGCATCGAGACTAGTTCAGATATTTTTATTTCGCCTCCCAAAACCCACCGGAATAGCTGATCGCGATCGAGAAGTCCAAGTGGAAGAGAGTCACAGAGACTTTGCCGTATGGCTTCCCTTTCGTTCTCTGTGTCCTTGTTCATTTCTCTGGCCATCCAGTTGACCATGTCGTTTATCATGTTTGGAAGATATGGATTTGTGTCGAGAGGTACTTTGCTTCGATAATAGAGGTATAGTCCCGAATTCGCACGGAAGATGGATCGCGTAGGACACGTGAATGCCTTGATAGGTTGCTTTGCAAAGACATTGTATGTTATAGTGGCCTTGAAGGTATCTTGGGTCTGTTAGCTCATACCAGAAAGTAACACACTACTGCCTTTTTACTTACGACAGACTCCACGAAGCTTCCAAGCCTCGTTGATACCAGCAAGAGTAACTAGCTCATGAATGACATTCTCGAATACTTCCGGCGGCACATCCAGGAGCAGCATCTTCGGAGACCGTGCCGGTGGTTACTTGTAGCTTCTTATATGCTGTGAAATGTAAGTGTTATTGTCAACAAAATGGTTGACTTGATCGTGGTACGTTGGTAGTCTGTAAAGTAGCCTCTGTGCTCTCGAGCCTGGTGTCTCCGTAGTGAGTTTTCCTGGCGAAGACTCAACTCGAAGGATGGAGGAGAAGAGAAAGTTTCGGGACGAAGGTAGCTGTTGTAGTACCTTACGTAGTTGAGTGCTAGCGCGGTGAAGTGGCTCTCGGTGAGTGGTGAGAGAGGTATCCCCAAAGGCGATAAGAGGCCCAGGTAAAGGCAGCAACACTCTCAAATATTAAGGCTTACTCAGAACCCAGCATACCAATATTACTATATCAACTTCACCGTCTCTGGGCTTGCAATTCGACATATCATCACCCGTACCGGTGGAATACATGTCCAATCTACAGCTCACTTCCGTCTTGCTCACGCCGAGCCTTCTTTTTTGCTTTGAGAAAGACAGCTCCCAATTCCAGCTTGCGATCCCATCTGATCTGGCCCTGACTCTCCAAATACGTCAGAACGTGATCGCCCGTCTCTCAGCTATCTCCAGGTTGAAACTGCTCGAGGCATGGAGGAGTAAATCTTTTACGCCAAATGGGCTGGTTATTGGATGAATAGACAGAGGAAACTGCGAAGAACACCACTATTCACGTTCGCGTTAGTTACCAATCTTGTGAAGGGTAGCCTGGGCTGATGGCATAGCAGGTATAGATTTCATCTCGTGAGTCTCGAGGCAGATGACGAAAGCCGTCCATGCTAATTTCTGAGGGTGTATCGGGTTGATAGGTCGATCAAGGTGCTCTGATGTAATTGAGCGAGTGGGTGTGGTGAGTCACTGAAGGAGGGTAGGAGCGATACCCACATGTCTTGCCAAGTCTGGACCATGAATGCGCTACGCCCAGTTGGGCCAACATTTGAAGCCCTGCTTTCTCCTAGTGGAAGTCTGTTGCGAGGAGCGATTGTACGAAAAGCGGCGGCCAGAAGTCTCACTCGAGCAGTTGATTCTGAAGCGCGTCCAAACACGCATCTGTCGTGTAAAGTCTCTAGTGTATCGCAGATATCCCAAACGCCGTATGCAATGTAGCCTGTATCATGATATAGACCCATATAGACCCATGTACACCATATGATACATTTCCGTCATTGTGATGCGCCCATGCTTTCTGTTCACAAGTCCATCACCTGAACTTGGCGGTTCCTGGCACATCCTTGATCTCCTCAAACTTGGTGCCCATTTTGACGACGCTGTATCTGATCAGCCTGGGGTCCAGACTCATGGTTCGCCGTAACGCGTGCTGTGCGCGGGCACTCGCATCGAAGCGCATGATGAAGTGGTGGCCGTAGTGGTGTGTGGACTGCAGCTTCTTTGCTGGCTTGGGGAGGAGGAAGGTGCCCCAGTTGGAGACGCCACGGACGACGCCCTGCTGGTCGAGGACAATCTTGCCAGCAGTTTTGGCGATTCTACAGGATATCGTGTCAGCGGTGTGCTGGAGGTGGTGGAATGGTGGGAGGGCGAAATTACTCTTTTACTTCAGAGAGGCGGCCAGGCCGTACCTGCGCCAGTCAGTATTCCCTCACGCAGACAATGCAACACGCAGCATACCACTCCTATCATCTCGTACAGCATCTTGCCTCGATTGCGCGGTGTTGTTGCTGACGTCGTGCCTTCCGTCGCGAAAACTGTTCGAAAGCGGCCAACCTTTCCGCAACCGCGGAGGAGCTCCACACCGATGTCCTTGGCGCGTGTTATCACCTCTCCGACTCCCACAAACTTGAAGCTTTCACATTCCCACACACAATCACTGCAAAATGGCTGCCCGGACTTCAATCGCACGCGCTGCGCGCCAATTCACCTCTGCCGCCGCGAGGAGACCATCACCTTTCGTGTGCCAGAGGTGGCAGCAGGCGACCCAGAAGCAACGGCTATTCTCGGTATCTGCCGCTCGTACGCACATCTGAAGCTTTGGAAAGCAATTGAATAGCAGGCAGAATCGCTGACTGGGCGCAGTGAAGGAGAAGAAGTACACCGAGGACCATGAGTGGATTGAGATGTCTGCGGATGGCAAGACGTGTACGTTCAGCCTCCCCCGCTCCCCCGCATCCCCGGGCGCTCTTGCTATCCAAGCGCACAATGACTGACCTGTCGCACAGGCACCCTAGGTATCTCAGAATACGCAGCAAAGGCCCTTGGCGACGTCGTCTACATCGAGCTTCCCCAGGTCGAAATGGACGTCAGCGAAGGCGATGCTATTGGCGCTGTCGAGTCAGTCAAGTCTGCTTCAGATATCCTCACACCCATCTCCGGAGTCGTCGCCGAGGTCAACTCGGCGCTAGAGCAGACGCCCGCCAATGTCAACAAGGACCCCGAGGGCGACGCGTGGATTGCCAAGATCACCGTGTCTGGTGAGCCAAGCGGCAAGACCATGACAAAGGAGGAGTACGCTGCTTTTACTGAGGAGTAAATGCTCGAGCAAGAGTCGGGAGGAAGCATCAATGCATGACATGGGAGATACCTAGGCGCATACTTCAACACGGAATGCGAAAACAACACAGTCAACAATTCAATTTGCATATGTCGGCAGGTCATTTGACACGCCTATGAACCAAAAGACCACAAGACGATTGCAAGCAGTACTTAGTGTCGCCTGACATCAGCATGTCGTCGCGTCTCGACGTGCATCCTGATGTTGAACCACCCCCTCCTTTGCCCCCTCTCACTACTACGTCTCACTCGTGCCCTAACCAGTCCACACCTTAGGTCCTGGGCAAGTGTACGTAGTGATAGCACTGCTGTACGTATCAACCGTGATACCCGGGTCACTCTGTGCCGCGTATCCAGGGATGTTTGCCAGATAATCACCACTTGGCGACGCACTGCCGCTACCCGTCACCTCAATCTGCGCGCACTCGGCATAAAACTGAGGCGTATTGGCCTGGTGAAGAGCAAGCAACTCATGTCGAACGAGGTAGTTACCCGGCGCGAGCGACTTGGGGACAACAGATTCCCAGTACAGGTTCTTGAGGACCTTGGCCGTGCCCCAGTTACGTCCTGAAAGGGGAGGCGCTGTCATGCCTTCTTGGTCGATCTAGCCGTACCGGTTAGCACAAAGGTAAAGTAGGATTGAAATGCTGAAAATGCATACCTTGAACCACTTCTTTCCACTGCCATCGCAGCTCTTGAAGTCACCAGAGCACTTGTACATCCAGACCATGACTGGACCCTGCTCGTGCGTCCATTGCTTCCAGTTGGCACGGATCTTTCCACCCGCAGCTACTTTGGCAGAGAGATCGGCTGATGTGCCACCGTTGCACATGACCTTCTTGTCGTTGACACTCATTGTGGGGTTGTAGTCGGGCCATTGGCGTTGGATTGTCTTGGGCGAGGAGGCTGGTGAGAAACCTTCGTAACTAAATTACAAGTTAGCAGTGAGACTCAATAACTTTGCAGATTCTGACAAAGACAGCTTACCCTGGGTATGTAACCCCGTCGATGACATAGCTGGTAACAGCGCCGTGGGCGGCAGCCTGCGCAGCAAGAAGCGCGGTAGGCAGGAAAACGTTTGAGAACAGCATATTGATTTGATCAGATGTTTGCCTTGAAGGTCGATATGGATTGCATCCCTATTCTGCTCTCGTTCTTATATAGTCCCCAAGTGACCGCCCTGTCCGACCTCTACGCCCAATGCTAGCGTTCAATATCCCTCATGATCACATTACCACTGCCTGCCATTCGTCTCTTTCTGACCAGCCTCGTCACGCATACTTCACATAGAGGCGATAGTACTACCTCAATATCCATGCAATATACGAAGATGCTGTCGCCGGACCGGTTAAAGACTATTGGCTGCGCAACACTATACATGCTTCGCTAGCGAGCGAGCCTCCATGTCGGCTCTTGGATCACGATCCATATCGGGACATGATGGGAAGGCGAGCAGTACCCCGGATGTTTAATCTACGTGCCAGGAGTGTGTATACACGGCGTGACAGTGTGAAGTTAGATGGCGCATGCGTTGTCGTGTAAGCGGCGATGTTCTGGAATATGGCCAAGCGAGCCATTGGAAGGCGGAAGAGGCGTCGGCAAGGATGAGAATACGTTAATCAATCGTACTACCACTTCTGGTACCTGTTCGTCATGGATATAGCGATCAAAGATCTAGGAATCGGCCATTTCCTCACTGCCGCTTATTCAGGTAACTTTTGGAGAGCCGTAATCCGAGAGACATAGTTGTTGGGGCTGAAATTAACAAATCGAAATCTCGCGTGTATAGAAGCGTGTCTCGTCGTAGCTTGGACCAGCTCTTTCATTTGCACAACAAGGAATAAGAACATTTGATGACGTCGATGACGAAGGTAATGAGATTCGCAAGAACGACCTTGGGGAGGTTGGTAAAAGCACCAGACGCTAGTTGACACGCTAACTGAGTCGACCTTGCCGCCCAGCATTCCTGGCACCAACTCAGTTTCATCAACTTATTTTGCAAAACCAAATGCAAACGGTACATGTGAAGTAAAAGTTGCATTGCGAAAATGACTGTGACCCAAGGCGCGGTCTGGTATCTCTCGCCCTTGCTAAACCCATAACAAACCCCCTCCTTGCTGATCATAACAATAACATGTCTAAAAGTTCTTTGACGCCTCGATTCCTTTTGCGTCTGTACCATGCATGACTTCTTCGTCGTACCGGTCATCACCATCAGTATAAGCGACACTGATATCTGTAATCTCATCACCGACCTCCATCCAAGTGTCGCTGCACGCTGGAATAGGACTGATTTTGCACAGTGCCCAGTACGTGATGCTCGCGACAAGGAAACCAGCGAAGAAATTAAGGTCATAGATGCGCTTCGCACCAACGGGTACGTCACGACCAATGGCACCTGCAAAGCCGACGACGTTGATGAGGATACCGGCAATGTAGGCTGCGTAACCGCGCCAGTGGAACCCAAGGGTGTAGTAGTATGGACCAGTCTTCTTTCCAGAGTAGAGATCCCTGATCTGTAGGTAGCCCTTTCGGACGATGTAGTAGTCGCAGATCATAACACCCGCGATGGAGGAGAGGAAGACTGAGTAGGCAGAGAGGTAGGTCGTGAAGTTGTTGGTAGTGGAGAGCAGGTTCCAAGGGCACATAACCAGACCGACGAGCGCGCAAATGTAACCACCTCGTCTGATGCTGATCCATCGGGGTGCAAGCGCTGTCATGTCAGTTCCCGCGCTGATGGAGTTTGCTGCGATGTTTGTGCCGAGTTGAGCGAGAGCAAAGGCTGTGGCAATGCAAAATACTCCAAAACGCTGCGCTGATCCACCCTCGTTCAGGAACGACTCTAGCAGCTGTAGAGGATCCCAGATAGCCGTGCCAAAGATGACAGTCGATGATGATGACACAATGATTCCAATGAATGAGGTAACTGCAAATCCGATAGGAATCGTTAGCAGTTGCGGAAGGAAGGCGTTCGATGGCTTCTTTGCGAAACGGGCAAAGTCAGGGTCGTTGACAATCAAGGTAGCGAAGTTGGCAATGGCGCTCATGATTCCACGGACCATCAACCAGCCAAGCTCAGATCCCTTAGCCGTGCCTTGCTGATGAACAATCGGGCCCAGTCCCTTTGCACGAACGATAGCCCAGATGAAGAAGGCAACCCCAGCGGTAGGAACAACGTAGGCCTTTACCGTGAACAAGTGGCGGATCTTGTGTACTGGTGGATAGATGAAAGGTAGCGATCCAGCCCAGAACAAGAAGAAAGATACAAAGGCGACCGTGCTGGTGCCAGAGCCGGCAATGCCGTTGGTGATGCCGCCTGTACCTGGGCCTTCGGAGTCTCGCCAGTTGTTCCAGATGGCGCGGATCATTAGGCGTACACAAGTACCGCCAATCCATGCTTGTACGCCGTACCAGATACTAGCCATGGCCGCGCGGTTGAAGACGGGCCATAATGCTCCCCAAATACCAAAGGACGAGCGGTTGACGACAGGGAAAGAGATATGGTAGGTCGCACCGATACGACCAGTCATGCAGACAAAGCAGGCGGCGATGGAGTAGCCAAGCTGTTGTTGAATCAGCGTATGTCGATAAAGTCAGATGTCAGATCTCATACCCAAACGCATATCCAGGATTGCCACCATGACAGACCATCGACAATGTTTGCGGAAGAAATCATCCATGTGTTGATGTTGAAAGAGTCGGCTATACATGATTAGTCCACATTTATGGTCGGTTTCGAGAGTCCTTCACGTACCAACCCAGAAGCCTACGAAATTCCAAGCACCCCATTGCCGACGCTCCGGTTCGACTGGCTTCAAGTCGTGGTTGAAGAGCATAAGCTGCGCAGTCGTGAGGTTGGGCTCGCTCTCGACGGCGAGCTTATCCGCCCAGTAAGCGACCTTTGAGTTCTTGACTCTCTCCATGATGAGGCTGTAGAAGAAAAATCCTTCGTCACTTGAATGGTGGACGGTCGAGGTTGCAACAGGCCTTATCAAGCTCTCGCTTCGGCTGCTCGAAGCCGTTGCTTGGTAGGATTGAAGATCCCCGCTCGTATGACGTGGGGGGCTATCAGAAGCGAGTGAAGGTCTCGGTACGCCTAGTCTTGGTGGGGATTGCGGTTGGATGAGTGGTTGGCGTTCAGGATCCACGTTGGGTGGTTTTTGAAGGTAGTCGCAAGGTATATATAAGATATCGAGATGGACGCACTACTGCGTGACGAGGTACTGACGTTCGCCGCTGAAGAGGCTTCCATCTGGGGCATGCTCCATCTTAAATATCAAGAACGACTTCGTGCAGCACAAGATCGACCCTAGATCCACTCCACGCTTAGATACTACCCTGCCTCCGCATCGGAAGTAATTTTGGTTGTGGTCACTGGCTGGTAGGCCCGTTCCGGTAGTCTTATCTTCAAGTCGCGATAGCCCGCGCGGTATGCTCCACCAAGATGTTCGCTACAGTTTTGCCGCTAGAAGTCCCGACGAACAGCTCGTGTGCTAGTCATCAACACCATGCATAGTCTCAAGAATGCAGGCACTGCAGAATTTGCGTTCTGGGCGCGTGAAGGATGGCATGATGAGTGGGTGAATCTCCGCGGATGACGCAGCGCCATGGTAACAACAGTATCGCGTGCCCACCAGGGGTGTGTACTGAAGTCTTGGGGACTATGCACGTCTGCGCAGCTATCTCCGCGATAGGAGCCACAGGAGCAGAGATTTCCCTACTTTTTGACTCGATAGAAACATGTCACCACAGCCCTGGACCCGGAGAAGCTCTCTATCTTGCAGCAGCCGGCGCCATGATGGTTCGAGGTTGCATCTCTCCGTTCGCTTGAGGGTTCTAGCTGGGGAGATAAAGGCGATGTGGGGTACAACGGGGCGCTCGCCGCAGCCACTCAGCGGCCGCCATATCCAGTTTACTCGATGACATCGAGTAAATCGTCGGCCTACTTATAACATATCTCACCTGGACATTTCCCAGCCTCACGGCTCAGCTGTGAGTCCTGCCTGGTCATGCGCTTGCACATGCCTTTTGCATGCTGAGGGCCATGGCGCAGGCCGACTTCGCCAGCCTCGATTTCTTCCGGGACTCGTATACCGTTTCAAGCTGTTGGACGGCCAGCATAGCACAAGTTTCTTCGGTGACGCCGCGAGTTGGTGGTGAGATACGCGCATACTCGAATCAGCATGCGATCGACAATGCTATCTTCGACACAACCGCGATGCCATTGTACAGACGTCGCGTCAAGTGTTAGCGAACAATTTTGAAGAAATTGATTACGGCTATACAAAGCATGTGCGAAGACTTCTCGCTCCTCCCAAGCATTGCACGATCCAGAGTCGTGCAGCACGGCCATCACGTGGCTTGCAAACACCATAACCTCGACCTCCAGCTCAGTCAAACACCATCTAGCATCCTGCGCGGTACATGCCACTTCTCACACGGTCTTCCGGGGTTCCCAAGCCCGCGGAACGGATCTCAACACTGCCCATGCCTTCCACATCCAAGACGATCGGAAACAACATCGAACAGCGGCTATCTGCAGATAAACAAGCCTCAACATCAGATATCACTCCGACTCCATCAAACAAAATGTGCCGGCTAGGGGCTGTTCGTCTATCGGGCCTTCCAAGAAATGCCCCAAATATCATCAGCCTGGCTCCGTGAGGATGTTTCGGACGTGGCGTGTTTCAATGTCCGCTTGGAGTAATTTCCCGTCTACAGCGACAGGACCACTGAAGATGAAGTTTCTTCAACCGACTGACATTGTTTCGCTTTGATGAGCAGGTGGCGAGATCGTGGCGCGTATGATTAATGACGTTTTAATTCGTGACTATGGTTCATTCTAGATATGCCCAATACCCAATATCCAACGTCGGTAATCATTAGACGTTATCATGCTCATCCATCCCATCATAGCGAGTTATCCAGAACGCCAGCAGGTAGAATCAAACCAAACCGCCCATTGCTAAATCAGATCATAAGGCATCAACGCGAATTCTTTACCGTCGCACGGCCATTCTATTACCATCCATTGTTGCTGTGCTTGGGCTTCTTGTGCTTGTCCTCGAGCTTGCTGCCGAGGATCGAGCCTGCTATGGCTCCAATAATGCCGTGGCCGCCCAGCTTGTTACCGCCGAAGTAACCAGCTGCACCGCCACCTAGAGCACCCATAAGGCCCCGGTCGCCTTCAGCTTGCATGTTGGGGTCTGTGGCGCCGTATTGTCCTTGTTGCGGCTGGCCGTAAGCATTCTGGCCTTGCGGGTACTGGTCTTGAGCGTATGCGCCTTGTTGCGGGAACTGCTGCGCTGGGGCCTGGCCAGGGTATTGGCCTTGTGAAGGGTACTGCTGTTGCTGACCGTATCTGTTGCTGTTAGCACATGAAAAGATATATTTGAAAGGTTGCATTTTACCCCTGCTGTTGCTGGTCATACGGCGCTACTTGTTGTCCATGCTGGAATCCACCGTGAGCCGGGGCACCGTACTGCTGGTTATAGCCCTGCTGTTGGTAGCCCTGCTGTTGCTGGTCGTAGTAGCCCTGGCCTTGTTGCTGAGGTGGGTAGCCCTGCTGCTGGTAGCCGCCCTGTTCCCATCCTTGTTGTTGGGGAGGGTATTGGCCTTGAGGCGGGTATTGCTGGTAGCCTTGGTTGTACTGATCGTAAGGGCCGGACATGATGATTGTGTGAGGTTTGTAGGTTGCAAGAGTAGTTGGTGTTATTGAGCTTATGAGGGGTTGGGTAATGAGGGGTGGTTGACGTAAGGTTGGGGGCGGATACGGGAATACGAGAGTAATAATGTCGTGAATGAAAGCAGGAGCGTCACGACAGGAACATTACAATCTTATACTACTGCCTTACTTGCCGCAGCGCACAACACCATCTGCTGACTACAAGATCTGATGACTGAACGAATCCACCGAATCTTTGGGGCGGAGCACATCCAGCGATATCCGGCTACACTCACTCAGCCTCAGCCACCCAGAGGCCAAGTTCGTCCGGCAGCCACGGCCAGTTCGGCGGGAGCGAACCGTCCACGCCTCAACGCCGCATCATCCGTGGGCTCCTCCGCGCAATGTCATTTTTTCTAGTACTCAGCAACATTACACCTTACGTGTCGCGCATCTCGATGTAGTGTCAGTCGTCTTTCATTTGTTTTGTAACATCCTAGAGAGCGATCACCGCGAAGGCTTGCCTAGCCTCAGGAAACACTCTCTTCCGCCCCCCAGCAAACCTTTGTGCGAAACATTGTGTGCCTCTGTTCTTCCAAGAAATTGGCCTCGGCCGGATATCTGCGATAGCCTGGGCCAGAAGCACCGCCGCATCACGTCGCGCTACCGAAAAAAGGTACCCAGTGGAGCCCAAAAGTCGACCACGCCATCCGAGGCGCAGCAGTCTCTGCGTTCCTCGGAGAGCGTGTGGCTTGTCGTCATCTGCCGGTTGTACGACCGCAAGGCTGTCCTGCGCATTTCCGCCGAATCCCAGTCGGGCTGCCGGTCATATGCGGGGAATTATTGAAGGAGTTAATATCTGCTAACCATCACAATTGCGCTCTAGACATCCAATAACTGTAGTCTGTCGATAGTCTCACGACAACCCCTGTGGCGTGTGATCGTCCTCGGAAACGGGAGCTGAAACGTGACCATGGCGCTCTGAGACAACTTTAAGACAACCCCCCAAACCTTGCACGACCATTTTCTTCTCAATCAAGGCACATCTTGCCCTATTGAGGGCAATTAAGCGCGCCCAGGATTATGAAGTCTCGCCATTTGGAGCGTCCTTGGCATCGCAATTGCTGCTAAACGCTCTGTTATTATCATAGCGTAGTACCCGTACCTTCGCGTCTCCCCAAACTGACATGGTACCAGCAGCGACTCACCACTAGTGTAATTCATGCACTTCTCAAAGGCCACCCCTCCCGCTATTCGCATGAACGTGTCTCGTCTTGAGCGTTCGCCCAGCCTTTCGTTGCACCTTTGCTGACTTTGCTTTCTATTCTGTCCTTCGTTCCGCAGGCGGGCTTGTCGTTGCTAATCACTTACATACATTCGCTACTCCACCCTTTCTTATCGACTTCGCTGGTCGCGGTCTAACACACTTCCGATCACAACATCACCTTCGGTCACGACAACCTTACATCGCTGGACGAGTGTGGATTATGTCTGGTGGAGAAATTGAACGGCTGGAAGACTGAGAGGGGCTTTCCCCATTTGACGCCATCGCATACCGGAAGCAATGCCCGCCCCATGGCGCCGCGGGGTGTACGAAAAGGTGGAATCTGTTGTAGTGGAAAGGAACGGTGTCCAGTATGAGAGGGAGTTGGCGGGAGAAGAGCCTACGGCCACTGTGAACGCAAAACGCGACGAGCCAAGTCCTACAGACGCAGACTACGACAGCGATTCTGATGAAGACGACTACCCTGAGAAGCCGAACATGACAGCTATGACAACAGCATCTCTTACAGTACCGACAGGAACTCCAGCTGTAAGGAAGGCGTGCCGATTCAGGGGATTTCACTAATGCAAACAGCTTCTGATTACCATGACTCTCAGTGACGAGCCACAAGCCACACCTGCCTTCGCCGACAATGACCCTACCGAGACCATCGTGATCGCTATGCCACCACCGCCTCGACCTCATCATGATCGCCCTATTTCCCAGACGACTGAGCACTTGCTCATTGCTGCCGGCTCCATTGGTAGGATGAACCGATTGCCTGTGTTGGAATGTATGCTGACATGCTTTAGGTGCGACTATCATCATCGTCATGGTAGTTCTTGCCATGTACACCATGCGCAAGCGAGGTCTTACTTTCAAGGACGTACTCCAACAGGGCAAGCAGCAACTTCGCCGCGGATCCCCACCACCACCGCCATCAAGATACGGCCTGGACAAGAAGAACTTTGACGATGAATACACATATGGCATGAACGACTCGTTCAATGCTCCTCAACCCACGGTTGCGCCTAAGCGATCTTCTTCACTCTCTTCGCAGAAACGGCTTCAACCTCTCGGGCGGAGTGACAGCTTCAATCAGCCTCCGACTAGGGATGGCACCCAGAGCTTCTACGATGACACACCATCAATTTCGAACTCACATCGTCGCAATGATAGCGCAACACCATCATCACCTGTTCTGCCCATAGAGGGGCAACGACGAAGTGCGTCAACTCGCAACACAAGATCATTGGACGGTGACGAGGAATCGTTGCGGTTCCCCGACCCTTCGCAGGAGCAATCCAGAAACCTCCCGCCTCCTCCAACATTCCGCCAGTTCCTCTCGAACAGACCTTCCATATCTCAACGACCCGGTTTCGGTGGTGCTTCTGCGGCTGCTGCAGGAGGTGGTTTTGCAAGTAGGTTCAGCTGGACAAACTCGCAGGCCCCTCAAACCCCACATGATCCCTCTCGCGACACTGCCACTCAGCCACTTGGTCGTGATAGCTTCATGACATCCCGCTCTTCCGTTCCACGTTTCCGCACAGTAGACTCTTGGGTGAACCAGCAATCCAACCGCGTCGAAGAACAACGCCTCAAGCAGCAGTTCCGCATGACGCAGTCCACCACTTACTCTGATGATGAGGTGCCTGAAATGCCCGCACTACCATCCGGCGTGCCCAAGAACGCGAGCGGCATAACTAGACAACCCAGCGCTGCAGGCTTGAGCCGCAACGGCAGCAAGAGCGGTCTGGTAGGAAGGGACATTAAGCACCAGAGGCACGATACACAGACTACGGCTCCTATCTTCAAGGCACACCCAGGCACTGAAGTGCGCTTCAGCACACGCAGCGCTGTACCTTCTGAGATCCTGGATAGGGGACGAGACAATTTCGCGCTATAAACATTACGGCCCACCATCGTCGTCAACACTTTTGTATCTATCTCGTGCAGCCAACACGACACCAACATTTGCTAGCTCCTCTTTCGAGAAATTTCCTTGCTACTACCCCGTCATCGTCAAGCGTTGTCCGTTTACCAGCACAAGCATGTTTTTGCATTTCTGAGCGCGGCATTTGGGGGGAAAGGGGAACTCAGGGTTTGGGTCACAAAAGCGCGGGACAAACAGCTCACACAAACTGGAAACCTGGGGACAAGAAGAACGACAACAAACGAACCCTCATCCGCGCAAACCTTGTCAGCCAAAGCCGCCAAGTGCTATCCCTTTTTGTATATCGCAATTTCTTGCTTTTAAGCTTCAGCTATCAAATATCCTGTAGAGTTCCATCTCGCAAACCTAGTAATATCCACATAAATTTGGCCTTTCTACCTGAAAGGTCTGTGCCATCTCCATTCCCCATGCAATGCTTCAGCGATTTTGTGACGTCAGGTCGATCTTCACGGCACCACGGTTTGGCTGAAGGGCAGGATAAAGCATCACCCAGACGGCAGTTGGGGTGAAACAGCACAGCATTCCCCCCCTTCCCCAGCACTCGTCATGGCACATCCACAGACCAAACGAACGCGCGCCCAGCTACAAGTAAGAAACGCCTGAAACTCGAGGACCAAAAGTATCCCGATGGCCATACTCCGACCAGATGTGATTGATCCCCCACAAGCCACTGAAAAACAAGCATATAAGCTCCGGCTTGGCAGATTGTCCATGAAATCTCGCGATCGATGTATGAAGAGCAGGGCAGATTAACCACTTTAACCGACGGACTCTGTCTGTGGCCGAGAACCCGAGGCGGTGACATGTCGATGGATGGAAGAGACGGGCTAGGGGGCATAATTGCGGATTACATTAGCATAGTAGCCAAAGTGCCTCACATGTGTTTGACAATTGCATAATCAACAAAACAAAAAAAATTGAGGCAGCAATGCGGAAACAACGCGGAACCAAGACCGTGTGCGACCATGCCCAGTGATCCCAAGAGTCGTGCCAAAGAATAAGATGAAGAGATATTACACGCGTCGTACAGCTTAGTAGGCTGGACTGGGGCAAACGACGGAAAGAGTATAATATGGTTCAGGCAAACATGAAAGAAAATTAAGGGACAAATCAAGTAGTTTCTTCTCAATGCCAGTTCCAACCATGGCCAATAATTTTCAATTGGACTTTCAGTTCGGTCCTATACTATGCGTACACATCTCTACTAAGCTCATATCTTTTCACCTCATTTTATCCATGCCTTGCTGATAAATCATGACCATGATCATCATGCATCACCCAGATGGCTGTCCAACCAGGATATCCATCTCCACCTAACATGCGAAAACGCCCAAAACAATGCAGAAGAGGAAATCTGGAAACGGTGCCTATCGCCCGCCTCTGGCAACGTTTTCCAAAAAGCCCAAGAGGAAAGACTTATCCACAGGACTCTTGCCCTCGCTTGTGCTTCCCGCCCGGCTCTGCTGAGTACTCAGACCAACCACACTGACACCTTCATTCTGACTTAGGCTGACTCCTGCATCCATCGGGCGACTTGTTGGTGGTATGACGATGCTGGGCGCTGTTCCGTCTCCGATGCTGCTGATTCGACTCCGGTTCGCATTGCCTTCTGGGCTGGTTGCACCTACACTGCCGTTTGTAGGCAGTGGACTGACAGGGCTGATGATACCGGACATTGATGTTCTAGGAGTAGGTGGGAAGGGAGAGCGAGCCGGTGGGACCGGGCTATGCGTTTGTGGCTGGGGGGATGGCGATGGTTTGTTACCGAAGAGGGAGAGCAGAGCGTTCTTCTGGTCCGCAGGTACAGATTCACGTCGGTCCATGTCGGATAGGGGTGGAGGAACTGGTGAGCGAGATGGTATTACCGCTGGCTGGACGGGTGGAGGTTGCGGTGAGGCACTCTTGAACATGTCTAGCAAGCCTTGTTTGTGTGATGTCTCGTCTGAAGCTATAGTAGGATAATCAGTATGCTGTTCACAGATGATAGGCAAGGATGTATATTTGTGCGTACCTGCCTGACCTGGTACCTTTATCTGCTGTTGAGGTCTCTTCAGAATCTGAGGCTGAAATGCCATTTGCGGTGATGCAGATACTTCCACTGGCGGCGCAGGTTTAGGCGAGGCCTGCGGCGTACGTTTAAGTATCTGCTGAGGCATGAAGGGCATGTTGGTAGTCGGTGATGGTCCGCGTGAACTACCGTTCGTCGGCTGTCTGTTCTTCTTCATGGTGTCGAAATCCGGGGCATTGACTGGTCCGCTCACAGTAGCCGATGTCATATTTGTCTTACTCGACGGAGCGTGGAATACGCTAAGGAGAGCCGCATTATGCTGTTTGGGTGGGTTCGCGACAGGTTGCGCGGAGACGTATGCTGGTGTTGTTGGGAGTGCAGACAACTCTGCAGGCGGGGGCTGCGGACTCGCCAGTGGCGGAGTGGATTTGAACATGCTCAATAATGAATCTTGATGGGCATTCCTTGGCTTGGGTTGTTCGGGTTCAAAAGTCGAACTGATAGGAGGCGATTGAAACTGCGGTGGACTAGGAGCAAATTGTGCCTGCGGTGATACGAGACCGTGCGGCCTGTGTTGAGGCATTGGATGCTGTATCCTCGGCGTTGTTTGCTGGCTTCGATGTAGCGGAGCAGCGATTGTAGTTTGAGGCGACGGCGGGAAGGCAGGTTGCTGATTGTCGTTCTTGAATGAGTTCAGTAATCCCATTGCATGCGCATTTAGGTTTGGGGCAGGTAATTTGGAGGCTGGTGGTATCGCTGGTCTGCCATTGCCGCCAGCAAACTGTGAGTCGCCCATCTCTTGGAACTGTGGCCGCTGATTGTGTTGGTCGAATGCTTGCTGCATGTTAGGTGGCTGGGGTGGAAACATGTGCGGCTGCGGCTGCTGCTGCTGGTGCATGAAATGAGGCGACATGTGCGGCGGTGGTGGTTGCATGCCGTTCATGTGGCCTGGATGCCCTCGGAATGGCATATTCTGGTGCGGTGGGAAGAAGGGCGGCGGCGGCCCCATGTTGCCCATTTGCGGAGGCCGAGGGCCGTGCTGACCATGTGGACTCGACGGCTGCACAGGCGGGGACATGATCTGCTCAAAGGGCGTCCTAGGTTGTTGATTTGCTGCATGCTGGTTGTTGCCTTGCTTGAACAGGGCCAGGAGCGGGTTTCCTTGAGGGGGCGGCTGGCTAGGGGCTTCCACTGGGGGTGATTGCATGCCGACACTAAGTAGGCGCTTGAGCGCTTCTGCCGGATCCTGACTCTGCTGTGGTGGTGGCGCCTGGTGCGCTTGAGATAGCTCTGGGTAGTAGTCGCTTGGACGGTGGCCGCGACCCAATCGGGCGACCATATCTGCAAAGTTGTTGGCAACCTGCGCAGCTGCGACGGGGGCAGCTTCGTCGGCCGTAGTCTCGTATAGATTGGGTTGGACGTGTTCGTCGTCGGTGCCTGCCACTGGTGCTGGAGCCATGTGCGCGCTGTTACGCTGTCTCTGCCTTCCCAGCTTGTGCTGCTGCTTTATCCACTGCTTCAGAGGCCCCAAGAAGGGCGCGACCATGTAAAAGCTGCTCTCCTTGATCAGATCGTTTCCGGTGCCCTGCTGCTGCACCTGGTTCTTCCGCCTCAGGGTGGGCAGATCGGTGAGCTTATACCAGTCGATCTTTGAAATTTCCTTCCTCGTCCTCGGCTCAAAGTAGGTGTCCATGGGTACGCCGCGGAAGACGTAGAGCATCATACTCTGTTCGCGCATCGTGACGGTGATCTTCTTCATGTGCTCGTCGGGCTCGACCAGGTCAGCCTCGCGCAGGTCGTAGCCCGTCTCCTCCCAGACTTCGCGGACGGCGCAATCGAGATCCGTCTCTTCCTTGTTGATCTTGCCGCGGGGAAAACTCCACTTGGCGCCCTTCTTCCAGCCCTTGACCAGGACGGCGTGGGTCATGTCCTCGTTGAGCATGATGGCGCCGCGCACGGGGACGCGTGTCTTGTAGGCGAGGAACTGCTCGTAGGCCTGCTGGTGCAGCTCTTCCGAGTAGGCGGAGAAGAGGGGGCAGTGCTGGAACATGAGCTGGGAGAACTTGCGCAGGTGCATCGAGGGCAGGTTGTTGGGGTCGAGAGGGCGGATGAAGTCTTCGTAGAACCATTGGGCCTCTTCGATCTGGAAGCATATTCGCTCCACCGACTGCAGTTCTTCATTGGGCAGGTTGACGATGAAGCGCACGCAGAGGTCGTCGAGCCAGTCAACTAATGTTCGGTTTGTGTTTGTCATGGTGGTGGATGGATGTCTGGCCCGTATCGAGCATACCGCGCACAGCTCGTGTCGCAGAGGGTGGGGAGATGTGCACTTGGGCACCAGTCCGTCAGTCGCGGGCGGCGGGCGGCGGGTAGTAGCGAGGCTTCTAGATGCGAAGACGGGCGCGGTAGTGAAAGGGTGCACAGCCGCAAAGAAGGTCGAAGAATGCGGCGTCGAGTCGGCGGTCGGCGAGCGTCTTGTTGATGTGTTGTCAGAGGCCTATCGGAGAGGGTCGTGGAGCGATCGACACCAAGTGTGGCGGCTGTGGCTGTGCTCGCAGGCAAAAGAAGGAGAGCGAGCGAGAGCCATGACGTTTGGCTGTCTGGGATCGCGTCACAGAATCAGGGCAGTCTCGCGCGACTCACCGCCAGCGCATGATGCGATAAGTAGGCTTGCTGCTCTTCACTTCTGCCGCTTCTGAACAACTCACTCTTGACTGCGTATTTTGTACCGAGCTCGTCGCCAGTCGCACTCGCCAGCTATACATAGGGCAGCGACGCGCCCGTTTCACATTTTCAAACGAGAAGCGCCCTACGCCAACCACGCAACAAGCGCGCTGTGAGATACCCGCACCCCGCCCACTGTCTTTCAACACCAGAGACATATAAGCCTTCTGTGGCAGTCTCGTCCACAGCTGTCTTCATAGCAGCCTGCACACTTCAGCCCCCCACATTACCTCAGAAACTACCGCCCAACATGGCCGGCGTTGTCGCCAAGTACGCAATGAAGAAAGCCTTGGGCAAGGAGATGGAAAAGTACAAGTCCAAGGATGTATCTGGGCCATACGTTAGTAGCCACCTTCCCGCTTCCAACAGCTCGCACTAACTCTTCTGCAGGATCCATACTATGCGCTGGTTCCAGATCAGAGGAAGCCCCACAAGATGAAGAAAGTCAAGAAGCAGATCCCAGATTATCTTTCCGACAACGATGCCAACGTCCTAGCCAAAGCCCGCAAGACCGCCTACAGGCTGGACTACGCCCTCTTTACCTTGTTTGGAATCCGATTTGGTTGGTCTTCCGTCATTGGCCTTGTCCCCGCCGTGGGTGACGCCGCAGGTTCGGCCTTGGCTCTGAACCTCGTTCGCAACATGATGAAGGTCGACGGCGGTCTGCCAATGACCGTCCTTGTCATGATGCTTTTCAATGTCGCCTTTGACTTCCTCATCGGTCTTGTTCCCTTCCTTGGCGACCTTGCCGATGCCGCAGTCAAAGCCAATGGCAAAAACGTTCGGCTACTCGAAGAGCACTTGGACAAGCTCCACAAGCCAAAGTCACTCGTCGACAGAGATTCCAAGCTACCGAGAGAAAGGCGGCCGCGTCCTGCCTCTGTCTATGTCGACTTTGACGATGAGATTGATGAGCGCCGCAACACTTTTGAGGACGATCACGATGACGTTCGTCATCCTCAGCGTGCCTACGGTGGAGGCCGTATTCAAGATGAAGAGATGGGCGGACGATACGACACTCACCGATCTCACCGGGACGACAGGCCCAGCCGAAACAACACTAGGAGTAGCAGACGCTGATGAGTTTCTTTGTGTACTTTCATTGCGTCATGTTCCGTCACAAGCCTGCTGTCTGCATATCATGCATTGCGTATCCGGCGTTGGTGGTTTCTCGTACTCTCTTTAACACTATACCCTAAGTACTGTTGACTGTACACAACAATATTATGTATACTTTGTAATTTCTCATGTATCACCTGCATCCCAGGTTCTCTTTTCGTTTGTCGTTCAAGCTCCGTCACCTTCGTCCGTGGTACAGGAACACCCAGCCCCCGTGACACAGCGTACTTGAACCCTTTTGTACCAATAGAACACCTCGCTCGCGTCGTGCCAACAAATACACTATCTAGTTCACACACATGTCCGTTTGCTTCGTCAACGGTCCGTGCGCATCTTCATTCACATACATTTATTGCCCTGGGTGAACATTCGACCTCTGCTCAAGTACATACACCACTCTCTCCTATCTATCTTCACTCAAGTCTGATCTTTTGGAGTAATATCGTGTCGGCAACAGTGGCACGACGCTTGTTGACAACCTTTCCAAAGCATCATATAGTAGGTACTTCAATCTCCATTCACACCTCAACTCACCATCCTAGCTACTTGAACGATGAAGCTCTTGATCGTCGCATCCCTTGTGCTTGGCATCATGGCCGCTGCCGTCGTCCAGCCTGGACAGCCCCTCTCACCTGGAACTCACATGATCGCCGTTGAAGGCTACGATGGCACCTCCAACTCCGAGATGCTACTCGTCTCAACCGAAGGCGAACCCATCCAGCCATCTCCGGCATTCGGCGCAGACAACGATCCCATGGCCATCCTCGGCACATCCACAACACCCAAAGCTGCCAAAGTAACCCAGATCAGCCGCCCGCATGACCCCGAACCCATCATCATCCTCCCCTTCCACTTCCAAATCATCGAGAATTGCATGTCTGACAACTCCATCACTGCCCGTGGTGTCTACGTCAACCGCGATTTTGTCTGGGCGTACTTTTTATCCTCTGGCGGCACTAGCGTCATCGAGCACAATGTCAATGGGTATCCGGACTTTCTGGTTGGACCTTATGATTATGGAAGCAGTACGCTGCATTTTTCGTATGATAACACGGCGTTCAAGTGTGACTGGAACGACCAGGAGACGTGGAAGGAGTGTGGGGAGTGTAGGTCTGGCATATGGAATGCAGACCCTCTTGACTGTAATGGAGGAGGAATTAAGACGAGGACGAAGCATATGGACTGTTCGTTCATCATGGGGTGGAGAGGTCAGCTTAAGGGGACTCCGATACCCAACTTACCACCGAGCAAACCAGGTGACGACCCCAACTAAAGATTGGTAAATGTTACAAGTTCCGATAATGGCACTACGCCCGAATAGCTCTGCAAGATGATAAGATAAGATTATGATCATTATTTCAGGGTATTTGAATATCCCAGCGAGGCCGTTAACTCGACAATTAAGGTAGTCCCATGATGATATCACCGCCTTGACTAACCAAGATACCTGACCGTAGTAAGACGCCGATACCCAATGCTTAACATTAACCTGTTCATTACCTCCACACTATCCATCTCGTACAGCCATCTAATCGACAATGACGCCCTTACCGCCAAACCTCTTATGGCCATAGTCATTATCATCCTCATCATCACCATCCCAGTGTACCGCCTTTCGCGCAGGCTTGTGGATACGCACGCACCATAGGAAGTAATCTTCTAGTGGTAGCAAGTTCAGCAACACCCTGTTGCCAGTCCACGCCAATCCACAAACCATGGCACCAGCCACAGCATCAAGAATGAAGTGGTTCGCTGTAGCCACAATAGCTACGAGGATGATGGCGGGATATGCGACACCCAGGAAGATGCAGAGCATGCGACGAGCCGAGGGAATGCGCATGCGCAAACCCATTGTGAGAGCAACGGTGCGAGATCGGCGATGCTGGGGTGCAAGCGGAATAGACATGATGGTGAGACCGATGAGTAGCGAGTATCCAAAGTGCAGCGAAGGCATCGCAGCATACTGGTTGCAAAATTTGTTCTGAGTCCACACGCTGCTCTCGCCTTCGGCGCCGTGAACAGTGTCGACGAAACCAAAGCTGCGCGCTTCCTTGCCTACCGAGCCGGGGACCTCGGGGTCGGAGAGAAGACGAGGCGGCATGCATGGCCATAGTGTGAAGACAATGAAAGCGATCAGATTACAGGTAGCCATCGTTCTGCGCCTTGCAGCATACAACTTTGGACCTGCAGGACTGCCGTCTGCCTCGCCCATCGGTTTGTTATGGAGGGGAAGATCGATGCGGTTGCGGGTTGTGGTGTAGTAGAACAGCCATACCAGAAACAAGATCGTACCAGGAATATGGATGAAGGAGTATGTGCGGTTCGTCCAGTGAAGGAGAAAGGGATGCTTCAGGAACCATGCTTGGACGTCGAGTTCGAAGAAGATGTGTAGCTTCTGTTCGAGGTGGATGAGTTGGAGGGCGTGGCGGCGAGCGACGTTTACGGTGCCTTCGACCATCGTTACGGCAGAGAATGCGCGGCCTAACTGGTAAACCTATTGAAGCGAAAAGTTAGTAACTTTGTACAGAGATGTCAAATGGCGCCTCCGCAAGGCTGCTTACCCAGTAGATGAGTGCCCAATACCAGGCCTCCACAAGGAACGGAAACTTCTGCAACAGTCGACTGAGAAAGTACTCCTTGAATCGCCTAGTATTTGGACTCATGACATCTTTCTTCATGCCGAGAATGACAACTTCTCGTTTCCTCCATTTGGGCTCCTCATCGACGTTGGCTAGAAGCGACACGCTAGAAGACGGACTAGATCGACCGGAATCTGGGGAACTTGAGCGAGGCGAATTTTGATACACTCTCCGTCGCCCAAAAAGACGGTATTCTGTGTTTCGGTTTACCCATGTGCCGCCGAACAATAGGGTAACCACTACAAGCGGTTCTATGAAGGCTCCAGCGCCCATGGTTGGCGACTATGCGTGAGAGGCAAGGATGGTGGGTGCAGGCGCGCGACTCTTAGACGTCGCAAAAGACGATGTAGAAGTTCGGGGCTTGACTGCCTAGAGGGAGCTGAATGTATTTGTAGGGATGACGGGGTGTTTGACTAAGATGACAGCCGATCGATCCGGATATGTTTGCGCAAATGTCGAGGCGCGAGACAGTGCCGTGCCTTGTATGTTCTGTGCGACGGTAGGAAGAAGCAATTCCAGGGTTTTCTGAGAAGCAGAAAGCCTTAGCTACAACAAACTTTGAGGAACAAAATAAGGAACAGGCAAGAAGGATGCCCGATGCCGAGGACTACATCCTACACTAAAGGCAAGATGCATGGCGCGTAGTGAAGTCAGCGGAACACACGGCATGCGAGGGGTGACTAAACAGCAGCCACTGAGACAGACCAGCCATGGCAGGCGGATGGTGTCGGACGAACCTGCTCTGCCCTAGCATTTAGTGCGGCGTAAACCTCCAAGGTGCTGGATGCAGGAAGAGCCGGCTTTCCGTTGTGACTGCTGGGTTAGTGTCGCGTGCTTACATGTCATTTGCTGCAATTTACGTCATTAGAATTTCAGAGTTCTGACAACAGCACTCGGTTCCAAGCCCATTTTGCGCTTTGATACTTGCAAAATGCGACCAAAATCAAAGACTCAATCTCATCGCAATGTGCGCGTCATGCCTGAGGTTTGACGCCGACTGCTCGCGTGCTGGAGTTTCGGTGCCTGGTATTGTCGTGGTTGGTGGCACAAGAACACGCGACCGTCGACCACAGGCTTAGCTTCCGCCGAGTACCGGCGCTAGCCTCCTTTGGATGTACGAGCATTATCTTTACTGCTCGTCGAGATTAATCCTGGTGTGCTTCATAGTAGTCAGGACGGAGCTTCGCGTATTAGAGACCCCGATGCGCTTACGGCCTTAGGGTCTGGTGATCATCTTAACACTGACCATCTTTCTCGGGCAGCGTACTTTTCGCTGTAGCATACAAATAGCTTGACCCATGTAGGGTATAGACAAAGACAGTTTCACACCTCACCGCATTCGTTCGTCCCTCAATATATCCCGTGTCTTGAGATGAAACGAGTCCTTTGTACACGACTTGGATATAGACATCCGACTCTACGCATCGAAATGTCCGTCCTCGAGCGCCAATCGTCCGTACGCACTTCTCGGCTCGCTATCGCCTTGCATACCTCGTACCAACCACATCAAAGACCGGAGTAAGCTTACGGAAGATGAAACTCACCACCTACGCCTAGAGCATGACATACATGGATCGCATTGGACCGCTCAAGACCTGGAGATACGCCACACTTGGAAGACACCAGTGTCAAGTATGATATTCTTGGTTTATATAACGGCAGCCGGATAAAGTGTGGCCACCAGCGCGACAACGCTCCTGCGACGGACATTGGTCCAATATGTACGCAACAATGCCGCGCAAACTAAGAAAATATGATGTACAGCGAATGTATCGACTGCGGGGCGCAATGAAGCTAACAGTCTTTTCAACGCTCAAAGATGCCAAATACAATAGGAGAGCAGCGTTTCGCTATGATGATCAGGAGACACATGATTACGAATGAACCCCGGGTTTCCTGGACGCCTCGCTGAAAAGGACAAGAGAAAGGAAAGGTATAGTGGTACCAGCATATGGCTAAACAAGATCGACAGAACAAAGGAAATAGGTTGTAGTCGTCGCTAGGGACGACTTGTGGTACGCATAACTCTCAGCAGGCGACGCTGTTGAAAGGTGCGCTCTCTTGGAGGTCCTCGACAAGAGCGTCTACGTTACTGAGGTATCTCCCCAGCATATGTTGCTTCTCTTCTTGCGATCGGATATGTTTCTTCGTCGCGCTTCCACTATCGTCGGTGCTTCCCCGCCGCTCGAAAGCATTGGTCAGCTTGCTCGGGCTCCGCTGTGGGCCAGAAACTGGAATCTCGGGCATGAGGTAGAAGTACAGAAACTCTAGCAGTTTGACCTTGACGTTTTGTGTAGTCTCTTCGTCCTTGAACAGGCTTGTGACGGTGAGGAGGCCGTCCATGTGTTCAAACACTCGAGTGTTTTGTGGTGTTGCGAGAAGGGCTGTGACTAGGACGAGGAGGGCTTGCGATTGAATGGCGGGGCAGTTGTAGGGATCGAGCAAGTCGAGGAGGAGGTTCATGTATACTTCGCGACCGAAGATGATGCGTGATGGTGGGTGCAACAACAGAAGACCCTGTATGTTGGATAATGAAGAGAGGATGAGGATGTCGTTTTGACCATCTACAGTGGACGGTTAGCTATTGTTCGGCATCCCCTAGCATAGGCTTACCCTTACTGCTTCCCATACCCAGCAATCGATCCAAACAATCGGCTACCCGTGTGACAACTGTATGATGTTAGTCAAACTCTATATATGCTTGTATGTTCGCACTCACCATTCCATTCAAAGCCCTCCTGTAATCTGAAGAACTCCCTGAAGGCGAGATCGTCTGATAATTGTCCCAGCTTCTTCGGCGTTGGTTGTTGTTGATCGCCCAGATTGAGTGCTGAGGCGTTCCGACGGTGGCCTGGTGGTGAGTTTCTTGGCTTTCCACTGGAGAGACATATCTGCGCCAGCATGCCCTCGATCTGGCGTAACCCTTTGCGAATCTTCTGCGTGTCCTTGGACGCTATGTTGTCGAATGCGAGGGAGAGTAGAGCCTCCATTGTGATGATGTTTCGGGATTACTGTTGCAAGATAGTAGTAACAGCTTTATCAACAAGTGTCAATATATGCTGCGACTAACAATGCAGTCCAGATGTTGTTGAGACCAAGCGTGGCAGATGCAGGAGTCGGTAGGGGAAGTCGGGAGGGGGGGTTGTATGCAGCTAAGAGGTCCGAAAGTGCGGAGTAAGCAATATTTTGAGCCTTGTGTGGGCCGCAAGATTCAGGCTTAATCCTTCTGTAGATGGTCGACCACGGACGTGCGATTGAGCGTTGTGTCATCGATAAACACCCGCCGTTGTCATGGTAATAGAGACCCACCGGCGGCGGATCGAGCCGTGCACTACTAGCGTCGGCAGGGGATCACTACCACAACCCAACGCTCATCTTGCGCGACACCTTTACCTTGTCGCGACAACCATACTACCCCTTTGCTATGTTCATAGCCTCTGCTAGTAAGATGACAGCGGCACCGCGACGAGCAACGTGCGGTCAAAGCCGCTGAGAACTCTGCACCGCACCTGGACCCACTGTGCCAACTACGTCATTTTCTTCTTGCGATGCGTGTCTGGATGCATCGCGTCTTTCGTGGGAATAAAATTGTGCGATGTCGCTTCTAGGGGGAAAGATACGAGGACGCGTGACGAGATGCGTGCAGATGGTCGAATCACAGCCTTTCCATTGTTCTTCACCGGATCTTGGCACAGCAACTCGGCTATGCCATTATGGCTGACCGCGGCTTCTTTTTCGCGACGATCAGGCCTTTACAGTATGAGGCTTCCACACGCCAAACCTCTTTCTTATGGTTCGATGTACAATAATGCCTGAAATTGCCGGTCGCGGTTTACTTCCTCCAAGGTCTCAGCCGCTCAGCCTTGTGTGCCAGGCATTGTGCGCTCCGGACGGTTGTCATATCTTTCCTGCTGGCTGCCGTATAGCCCTCAACTACCGCTATAGTTGGAGCTTGCTACCTCTCAACTGCAAATTCGCACCTGCATCCATTCAACACCAGCGAACATCAGGTTTTCGCCATTCTCAGCATGAAACACAATGCAGGTTTGACTCTATTCATGCCTTGTTTTGGAATTCGCTTTATATTAACATTCCTGGCTATATTCTATTGGGGAGCCGGTCACTCCCAAGTCATCCACGACAATGTTGAGCTTCACAATGGCACCTACGACGCAACTATTCCCATTGGCGAGGAACTTGTAGAAAAATGGGGGTCTATTTTAACTGCCTGGAACATAACCCTTTGGTTGTTTTCCTTCATTTTTCTACCGCCTCTAAACTTACCTCTTACGATGGTGGATACTGCCTTTACTGTCTTCATAGCAAAGGCTATCCATTATCAGATTGGATACACGCCCCAGAATTTGAAAGCCTGCCATGATCCTGTAGGTCTGGAATTGCGACGACCTTCAGGTACGAATGAGAGCTTTTTTGCTGCTGCTGGAAGGCTGAACGAACCTGTTGCAAGCTCGACTCACATGTGCGTCGAATTTGTGAAAGAATTGCAAATTGGGATCGCATGTTGGTGAGTTGTAATCTAAGCACGTGGACGAGCTTTGCTGACTGCAATAGCTTTTTCTGTGCCCTCCTGTCTTTTCTCGGTTACATCTCAACCTTCGTTTCTGCTCGACAGAGAGGAGGAACAATGAGTCCATCCTTGGTTTGATGAAAGAGGTTTCCACTATGACTGGTAAATGCCTATTTTGTCCAGTAAGAGTGGGAGCACTAATCGTGGGGTGGATTATATTCTACACTCCAATTTACTTTTTCCGGTGCCTTCCACTGAGCTTCAAAGCCCCAGTGCGATCAGGACGTCGGTGCATCGCAAAGACTGCAATAGGCGCAGGGCAAAAGGTGGAAATCATGTTGTCGGAAGTCAAGAATGGGTTCAGAAAGAGTGAAAATCTAGTAGAGCCATATCGGAATAGCTACGGGACCCACACTTCACTGGCACAGTTCCTTGGGGTGTATGATATGCTGGTAATGGTCACCGAGCACCTGCACTACACCGACGTCATCAGCCTATCAACTGTTTCCAAGTCAGTTCGCCAAGCCGTCTTACCTACAAACGAAATCTCTCGTCGACTCGCCATGTTCAGGCTGTACACGTGCGAGCCTGACAAGAAAACCAACTGCTGGAGCTGCACGAATCAAGTTTGCGAAAGCTGTGCGGTGGAGTTTCCAGTACTGGAATCGGTTGCATCCCGTCACATTGAAAACTGCATTCCATACTGCGCATCCTGCTACCGTACGTATACTGTTCGTCATCCTCGCGCAAGAAAAAATCGAATGAAAGGGAATCCACCTTGCAAATGCGGCAGGCCATCGCAAGAACAGACATTTCTCGGGCGTTTATTCAAAAGAGATGACTACTACACCGAATCAATAAGTTCTTTTCCGATTGACAGACAAGTCTGTCGTAACTGTAGTCAGTTTACCAAAGAGGAGCTCTTCTTGCGAAAGGCAGAGGAAGCAATGATGATGCTAAAGAAAGGCTTGAAGGGTAATGGAGAAAAGTGGAACAAGTGTGCGAATCTGGGATGTTGTCGCGGCCTGGGAACTGGGCCGAGGTACTGGATATGCAAACGATATAATTGTGACAATGAGTGTTCTAGCACTCTCCATCGAGCATGGGGCAGCAAGACAAATGATAGCGTGCTTGGCGAAACTTTAGTATGATGGCATTTAACATAGACTAGCAAATTAATCACACCTGGCGAAATAAGTTTATAGGTTCGGTCATATTACATTACGAGTATCACTACGTGAAAGAGAGAAACCAAACATCTTATTAGAGTAAACTATTTCTTTCTACTACAACAAGTTGTAGTAGAGCTATACAAAAGTCAATAAAGAATCTAGAAGACTATAATACTATTAATATCTATAATCTCTGTTGTTATAATCTAATGTAAGCTGTAAGGTAGAGCTTCCTATCTCTACCTGTTTAGCTTTTCTCTTGTGTAGGGTGGTATCGTAGTTATAGCTCGATAAAATGAACTATACTACTTTTACATCATCATCGCACCAAAGACACCGGCCGCCAGCGCAACAACACCTCCACCGAGTTTGCTCGCCCCGCCAGTGTACTCGGCTGGCATACTGCTAGTTGGGCTAGGCATACCCGTGGTGCCGTTAGGAGCAGAAGTACCGTTGCCACCTGACACAAGCTCAAAGTTCGCACAAGTAATCCTCGTGGTGTTACCAGTGTGAAGGACAAACGCCAATCCACCGAAGAATCCTGAACTACCCTCCACAACACTGAGGTACGGGTCCACAAAGCTGGTTGAGAAGCTTCCCTCCGTCATGATCTTGCCGCCATGCTTTCCGGCCAAATCACCGACCTGACAAGTCTCTGGCAGTGCGGAATCGCACATGACGAGCTCGCCGCGGTTGGTGGGATCCAGGTGGCCCATGGTTGCGGTGCAGTTTCCGTCAGCAGGGACGGCGAGAGCGTGGATGTGCCAGGCAAAGGGACCGAACTGGGCTTGATCGGGCAGATCGGATAGGTTAACGGTGAAGTTAACTCCGCCGGCACCACCGACAGCCTCGATAGACCCAGAGACCGTGCTGCCAACGAAGGGGTTGTATTGCTCCTCAGGCATGGTTGCACGGTACGTAGCTGAAGGCTGGTTGGACGAGGCTGTTGCGGTACCCTTGAGCCCTCCCGTCTCACCTGGAAGGTAGCCTGGCGCAGGAGGGAGAGGAGAGACAATGGCACCCTGGATAGTATCGACGCCCGTGAAAGGTGTAGCCGTCGGGGTTGCGGGGATGACACCAGACTTTGCGGTTGCGAGAACGACAGGTGCTGGAGCGCCTTCTTGGACCAGATCCTGGCCATAGGCCAACGCGCCGAAAGCGAGAATGGAGAAAGACTTTGACAGCATCTTCAGATTTTGCAATCGGTGTTTGAGATGAGTGAGGATGTAGTAGGTGCGGGTGCTTGACTGCAGGCCGTAGACGCTACCCCTTTGGACTTTATACCATTTGAACAATCGACATACGCTTTGCCTGACCTGCAAGCAGCACCTAACGCCTCCTCCTAACACCCGCCCCTGAGCTTGTCTCCAAGTGACATCAGTACGCCATCATCTTACTCTCTTCGCTTCCTCCACCAACAACACCCGTTCCTTGAGCGCTTCCAGTCGAGCCAACACGGCTCATTCCTCCGCCGCGACAACAGTGCCAGTACGCCTTCGCCTGCGCATGCCAACCACAACGATGGATTCAACGAGCTCCATACTCGATGTGCCACTGGGTAAATCGTGCCGTTAGCTGCTCCACGTCTCCTTCGCGGCAATACACAACTATTACCGGCAGTAAGATTAGCGAAGCGTGAAACGCAACAGAGCCTGCAGCGAAACCTTGGAAACAAGCATTTCACAGGCTAACAACGTCCGGATATTCTACCAGCCCGCATTAGTGCCATCTGGGGTGCATGTCACGACCGTGTCGGATGTCAGTCTGTGGAGAATTTGGCATCGATGGCGGTCTTGGTCCGAGATGGCGGGTCATAGAGGGTGATGTCAACACTCGATAGATGTGGGGTGCTAAGCGAGACTATGACAGCGTCGCGCGCTATAACGTGGACTAAGTTATATCGTTGCTCCGCGGAAATTATCGATGAGGTGACGCGTATATGTAGGCAAAAGGGAAACTGTATGTGTTGGCGAGATGAGGTGTTGCTGCTTTCTTGGTTGTGTTGCAATACAACGCCAGGGTAGGTGGCTTCCGTACGCGTTGAGAGGTTGGCGCGACGGGTACCTTGCTTCCGCGAGTATTTGGAAAACACACACCTTTTCGGTGGTCTCTCCGACGGTATCTGGCGCTTACTGGATCCCTTGTTTTTGAATCGTTTGATTGCTGTCTTTCTCCAGGTTTTCGAAGCCTTGTCTGCAAATCCCTATGGTCTCATCTTTCCAACAGTGGCCAGGGAGTGAAGGGTGACATCGCCCCAAAACCAAGAGTCCTTTTACACGGTGCTCGAATTTCCCCTTTCGTCTGAAATACGATGGCTGAGAAATGATTGACGGGTGAAGGGTAGTTGTTGTGGCTGGAGTGGTGACGATTAAAGCTTTTCAATGGCACAGCTGTTTTGAATGAGATAAGGATGGATGTCGGACAATGAGAGACTCGGTAGGTTCAATTTTCAGATTCACAGAAAGGTGCTACGATGGAGGTCGTGTCTTAGGTTTTGAAGTTCTTGGGGAAGTGCAGTTGTGTTATGGCCCTTGTAGAGAGGTGGGTACATCATAATCTGCTCAAATGAGCTCCTTATCTCGCCGAACACCTCTTTCGCCACATTGAGCGGATTCAGCCTCACGAAAACAGTGGACCCATAACTTCAGTCTGCTCAAAGTTTTGCGCTCCTCTCACGCTTTACCGTCTATCTTTTGGGTCAGCCTGAATCGCACTCACGGCTGTGGGGCTATATAAAATGCGGAATACCGGTGGGGGAAGACCAGCTTAATGTGTACAGCCTTGTACCGAGCAAGACCGATTCATGGTGGTTGTTAGGAAGAGATGGAAGGTTGGGTTCATTCGACTGTGGAGAGTGAGGTGATGCTACAGTCGGTGCACACAGAACTCAAGGGACTTGAGCGTGTCGTGGTCGCGGTTGCCTCCACGACGTTCTGGAACAGTGGGAACTGCGATCACAAAAATGCCGCCACCAGCCCAACCTCGGAAGGTCAGCACTTGGTTTTGAGCGAACAACAATAACCGATCCAGACATGCGAATGACGCCAAACTACACAAGCTGCATCCGCTGCGAGATGAACGCGCGTTGATTCTTTTCTGAGCAACCTCGTATCAGAGGCAGGGGTTCGCATCAATGATGGCGGGGTTGAATAGGTATGAGGTAAGATGCTCGTCAGTGAGTAGCACGCAGCCTTTTGAAAACGTGAATTGTTTGCACTTCATTCCTAACAGCATCATAATATTGCTCAAGCCATTCGATTCACAAGCAATAGATTCATCTGTATCTATCACTGCATCATGTCCGAATGTTTCTCCTATTGTCATAAAAAGCGCACGATTCAGCAACTTCCCACCCCAACTCGGAAAGGACATAACGCCATACTCAACTCCAGCTATCTGGACGATATTACCGATGCAATTGGCACATGGGGCTGTCAGTGCACGCTTATAGTGCACTCTAAAGCGCTGGGAGAAAACACGGATGTTGTTGAGAGGCTGAAAGAGAAATTGGGGTCGTTCGTTGTGGGTACCAAGTCTGGGGTGGGCGCTCATTCCCCTTACGAAGATGTACTGGAAATTGCAAGGCTGCTACATGAGAAAAAGGCGGACTTTTTGATAAGCATAGGAAGTAGCAGCTACTCGGATGCATGCAAGATCGCGCGCTTGATGCACGCGAATCTCGCTCCAGACAACCTGACGGTAGAAGCTATGGAGGCCTTGGTGGACCAAGCCAAGGGCAGCGCCGCCGGGCTAAAAGATCCTACGATCAAACTCATTCTCGTCCCAACGAGTCTGTCAGCAAGCGAGTGGAACAGCAACTCGTCAGCAACGAACCCTCAATCGAAGAAGAAGCAGCACTTTTCGAGCGAACACGCGGCGCCAAATCTTATCCTTCTCGATCCTGAAGTCGCCTCCACATCACCAAGGAAATTATGGCTGTCGAGCGGAATGCGCGCTGTAGATCAC